GATCCTGGGGACGAGGTGGTGTCTGTGGTTAGGTAGTGGTCATGGGGACAGCATGAGACCCGTGTGAATGTGGTGGCCATAGGAACGGGGTGATGGCCCTGTCCAGGTGAGTGCCAGGACCCTGGGGACAAGGTGATGTTCTTGTGCCTGTCCTGATCACGGGAGTCCATGTGCATGTGGTGACCATGAGAACTGGGTAATACCCAGGGATGTGCTAAGACCCTGGGGATAAAATGAGGCCCTGCTGGGACCCTGGGGACAAAGTGATACCTGTGTACATGTGGTGACTGTAGGAATGAGGTGGTGTCCATGTGTGTGTGGTGACCATGGGGATACAGTGACATCTGTGTGTATGGGGACAAGGTGAAACTCACACAGATGCTGTCCTCACAGGGACAAGGTGTACAGACTGGGGATGGGGTGTGCATAGTGAGTGACACCACTGTGTATGGGGTGACCATGGGGTGGGGTGGTGACCTTGTGTGTGTAGTGACCACAGGGACAGGTGGATCTGTGCAGGTGGGGACAGGATGATGCCCATGTAGTGACAGTGGGGACAGGGTGACTTCCATGTAGCGATTATGGGGACAGGGTGACATCCATGCATCATAGTGACTGTGGGATGGGGTGACACCCATACATAGTGACATGGGGACAGGGTGACATCTATGATCGTGACTGTAGGATGGAGTGACATCCATGCATCATAGTGACTGTAGGATGGGGTGACATCCATATGTTGGGGGCAGCATGACATCCATCAATAGTAATGACTGTAGGATGGAGTGACATCCACACATTGTGGCGACCGGAGGATGGGGTGACATCCATATGTCAGTGACACGGGGACAAAGTGACATCCATGCATCATAGTGACTGTAGGATGGGGTGACATCCATGCATCATAGTGACTGTAGGATGGGGTGACATCCGTATGTTGGGGACGGGGTGACATCCATCAGTAGTAATGACTGTAGGATAGAGTGACATCCATATGTTGGGGATGGGGTGACGTCCATCAATAGTAATGACTGTAGGATAGAGTGACATCCATATGTTGGGGACGGGGTGACATCCACACATTGTGATGACCGGAGGATGGGGTGACATCCATATGTCAGTGACACGGGGACAAAGTGACATCCATGCGTCGTAGTGACCATAGGTTGGGATGACATCTATCCATTAGTGACATGGGGACAGGGTGACGGGATGGAGTGATGGCCATGGGCACAGAGTGACAACGAAGACACAGCTACGGGGCTGGGGACACACTGATGGTTGGCATTTTGTCCCCTGTGCCTCCTGCAGTCATCTTCCCAAACCTCTCCACCCAGGCCAATCCTCATTTTCTCCTCAAAATTAAGAAGCAAAAGGGGAAAAATGTAATTTTTTACCCAATGCCAATGACCAAGCTGGGAACAAGGCAGACTTTGGGCCACGTCTGAGTGGCACTTTAATGGGGCCACGCTGAAAGGCAGCCCTGTGTTCGCCGTATGGGGACACCGCGTTTTTACGGCCCCGTGCAGTCAGGGCTCACATTTGTCGAACAAACAGAGGTTCTGTCTTGGGTTTAATAGAGCCGGTCCTCCAGACAGCAGCAGAAAGTGCCAGTTCTGATGGAGAGAGACTAATGAGCCCTTCGAAATGGTTTGTACGGGAGCAGAGAAGTGAAGAAAAAAAAAAAGAAAACCCACCCCAAACGCACTCGCTGCCAAGGAAAATACGCTTACCTAGTAAAGCATGAGTAATAAGTGGCACTTTTTACAGTGCAAAGATATAACTTTTCATGAAAATACCAAATAAGGCTCCGTGCAAAAGGTGGACGGCCGTTTTATTGAGGTTTTTTCTCTATTTCCCCCCCCCCCCTCCCCGTTTTGCTGGTGCCTGTTTACGGGTTCCCAGCGCCCCCGGCGCAGCCCGGCTCCTTCGCTGTGCGACAAAATGAGGAGGGAATGGAAAAACAGGAGCCGCCGTGCTCTGAGACTTTCTATTTTTAACAGGTTAAAAATAGCCACTTTTCAGCCACCAGCCCAGGAAGAGCTGGGGTGAAGCTGTGCAGCGGGATGTCGGGAGTAAACAAGTGTCAGGACAGCTCTCAGAGATGGGACATCGCGGGCCACCGGGTGCCGTGGATGCGGCCGCTGTCACATCCACCAAAGGGCTGCAGGGTTCAGTGCCAGCGGGGTGCTCAGCACTGATTGGGATGCTCAGCTCTCAGGAAGGATGCTCGGCACTAAGTGGGTGCTCTGTCCCCAGGGAAGATGCTCAGCATCACGGTGGGATGGTCAACGTCCAAGCAAGGTGCTGAGCACTGAGGCTGGGGGATGCCGAGACCCAAGAGAGGATGCTCAGGCTCAAGGTGGGATGGTCGCCATAAGGTGGGATGCTCAGTATGAAGGTGGATGCTCAGCCCCAAGGGAAGGCGCTCAACAACAAGGTGGGATGGTCAACACCCAAGCAAGGTGAGGCTGGGGGATGCTCAGCACCCAAGGGGATGCTGAGATCCAAGAGCTCAGCACCTAGGTGAGTGTTTTATCGAAGGGAAGAAATTCAGAATCAAGATGGGATGCTCAGCATCCAGACAAGGTGCTGAGCACTGGGGCTGGAGATGCTCATCGCCTAAGTGGTGCTTGGCCTCAAGAGAGGATGCTCAGACTCAAGGTGGGATGGTCACCATCAGGTGGGATGCTCAGCATCAAGGTGAGATGGTCAACATCCAAGCAAGGTGCTGAGCACTGAGGCTAGGGGATGCTCAGCACCCAAGGAGATACACAATCCCAAAGGAAGTTCAGAATCAAGGTGAGATGCTCAGTGTCCAAGCAAGGCGCTGAGCACTGCGTCTAGGGATGCTCAGCCCTTATGGAGGGCGCTCAGCATTGCAGTGGGATGATCAGAACCCAAGAAGGGAGCAGCATTGAGACTGGGAAATGCTCAGCACCCAAGGGGATGCCCAGTGTCAAGCTGGGATGTTCAGCCTTGAGGGTTGCAGGGCTAATGCTCTGAACCCAAAGGGAAGCTCTGCATCAAGGAAACAGGCTCAGCACTGTGGGCGGATACTCAACCCTGAGGGACCCTGGGCGCTCAGCACCAGCACTGGGGCACAGTCAAGATTCCCTTGCCCAAGAGATGCCCCAAAACAGGGCCTGCTTTGATGTGACATCCAGCTCCAGAATTAGAACTGTGGCTCTGGTCTCACATGGATCAGTTTCGGGTTTGAGACTTCCCCACCCTCTCTGGGATGCTGTTGGCAAAGGAGCAGTTTGGAAGTTACCAAAGACCACTGAGTCTTAATGTCCGGATTCCATCATTCCATGATCCCAATCCAAAGCATTTCTCTGGTTCAGAGTCCCCAGAGCATCTCCCTGCCATGGGGGATGGGTGGACCTGGCAGCTAGATGGCATGCACACCAACAGAACCTCCCACAACAATCCTTAAAACAACCAAAGAGAGGAGACAGGTGTCGGCATCCATCACAGCAGGTAGGACTCTGCAGAGGACTCTGCAGGATGATGTGCTGCAAAGCCTCCGTGGGAGCCAGGAAGGATGCTCTAAGTGCTTAAAGCGTAGTATGAAGGATGCAGGTGTCCTCAGGTCCTTATCCCTTCAGCTTGAAAAGCAGAAGGGGAAAGCTAGCAGCACTGCATGGTCCAGCAGCAAGGGACCTTCCCCAGGCAAGGTGCTGACGCATGGCCCGGCGCTGGCACACGCCTGCTCTCCCCTCCACCACTGCTCAGCTCCTCCAGGCAGAGTTTTGTTTCCTTTTAAGGCCCTGTGTTCCCTGCTCTGGAGCTGCGGCTGTGCTGGGAGAACAAAACAAGTCGGCGGAGCAGCGCTGCTCGCCTTCGCCCTGATGGTTGTGGGCTGTGCCCTCGGCTCCCATTATCCCTGCAGCATGCAGTGTTTAACCAGATAAAGGGCAGCCAGGTTTTCCAAGCAGGCTCTGCCTCCTTGCAGCACGGGAAGCTTTAAATCGGCATCCCAACTCCTTTTGCAAAAAGGATAAGGAATTCTCATCCTCAGCAGCAGTGTTTTGAGGCAGGGCACGTGCAGCTGCTGGTTCAACACCACCTTGGCCAAGAGGAGCTTGGGGTACCAATGGTTTTATGCCTGACATTGGATGGTGCAACTTCTCCAGCTGCTTTCCCCACCAGTAAAACAAGGATGAAGCTCCCTCTGCCTTAACATCCAACAGAAAGCCATTGGAAATGTGCTGCTTAGCAGATGACATTAACCAACACCTCCCCGTGCCTGTTGAAGGCTCTGTCCTCCTGAGGGTGCAGAAACGGTTGGAAGGCAGATGCAGAGATTTCCCCTCTTCTCCCCTTGCACCTCCATTGCAGGGGACAGCAGCCCACAGAGGTGGAGACAGAGATGTAAAAATTCATCTCATGAGATTAAAAACCTATCCAGGAGGGAAGGGACCGGGGGCTGTGTCAAAAGGCAGGTCTCCTACAGCCGGATCCCCGCATCCACAGAGAGAGAATCTTCCTTTAACCTTTAACCCACTCCCCTTGCTTGCTCCTGCACTCCATGCAGCATGCAGGAACGCTCCAGCCTCACCCAAGGGGCATGCAGGGACCCGAGGCCCCCGGGGGCTGGCAGAGCTGTGCAGTGCACAGGAGGGGGAACATGAGATCATGATTTTGGAAGCCTGAAGTTCGCCTATGTCCTGCTGCAGACATTAAGTCATTTTCCTGAGGAAGTGGTGTATGACGTTGAGCTGGTTATATGGGGTTGGGGTGGAGCAGCGAGCTCCAGCGAGAGGACCACTGTTCTGGTGCAGAGCAGGTGAGGTGCGAGCACACCACATCCCTGCAGAACTGGTCATGGAAATAAGACCTGAGGAGACAGCCCAGAGGTCTGAGTTCAACGCAGACCTCAGTAGCTTGAGGTGTTTTCCACCTGGGTGACCTACAATGATGAGTTTATCGGATGGAAGAACTCTTCACCTACTGCATGTAGGCTCCTCTGTGTGGTCAAGCAACCTCTGAAAAAATCAGGATGGAGCACATCTTTTAATGAATAAAAAAAATACAAGAAAAATCTGTACTTAACGTTTTGTGACTTCTTACTTTTCAAAATATACCCCTGACTCCACCAAGAAAAGCAACACACTAAGTGGTGGCCTCCATCCCAAATGAGGTCCTTCATGACTTCTCCCCATGGATCTCTGCTGCACACATCCCTAAAACATACCTTGAAAGCACCCCACCTCCTCCAGCTGTGCAGTTGGCTCTGGTTGGGTGCTGGTGCCAGTTCTGCCTGCCTTCCTGCCTCTTACCCTTATTTTTCCTGTAAGCTTCCAGTTCAGAGAGTCCAGAGCTGCATGATGAGGATGCTGGAGTGTGAGGTTACCCTCAATCCTCCACTTGCAGTGATCCATCCATTAAGCAGCCAAACCCATCCAGCCAGGATCAGCCACGGGCACAAGGGCTGTTTAAGGAGATCCTCTCCCATCTGCTGAGGGTCCAAGCTGCTTGGGCTGATCCAAGTGTAACTATTAGGTGTGCATTCCCATTTTGTGAGCCACCAGCTTGATCACTCAGCCAGAATGACTGCCATTATAATCGACGAGTTGGTCCTCTTGCTATCCAGAGCTCAGAATACCTACAGCTGTCTGCCTAAAGACATCTCCCCTTTGGTTTACACTCTTCAGACCTCTGTGCCACCTCAAACACCTCCGTATACCACTATGTAAGTACACAGCAATATAAACACCAGCCTAACAACACCCAGAAACAACTGCTGACCACATCAGTCGCCCACCTGAGACCTCACAAGCCAAATTCCAGAAATGCTGAGCACCCATCCTCTGGAAAACCTCTTTTACGATATAAATCTTAGCACCAAATGACAGAAGGCATCCAAATGGAGGAGTTATTTCTAATCAACGGGTCTGCAGTGCTTTCTTCACCTCCAATAACTGGTTTCTCAGAACCATTTGCTGCAACACTTCCTCCAGAGGCAGCTGACGAGATGTCCTAGAAAACAACTCGATGGTGTCTGGTTTGTGCCTGTAAAACACTTCAGCAGCAAAGCAGGCCCAACAAAAACACAAAGCTGCGTGCAGCTCCTCACAGACAAGGACACCTGACCTTGGTCTACCAGGAGAGCCCTCTGAACACCCTTCTCCCCCCTTTGACTCGTTAACTTTCAAGGTTACAGATACCGCTGCTTTCCCAATAAGAGCACAGCCTTCCCCCAGTTCCACCAGAGCCAATTGTGTGGGAAGCCTTTAAGATGTTTTTGCAGAGACAGAGCACCACCAGTGCCCGGCTCTATAATTAGGCTTCTGAGCAATTTACAGAGGATATGCTCAAGGAAGAAAAGGGTAAGAGAATTTTATATGCGCCGCTTTGTCCAAAAGAAGGTTACGAAAGGCAGAGCAAAAACTATTTACCAGCCTCACGGGGAAAATTAAGTTTGTTTCATTCAGTTCAAGCTGAAGCAGATGTTCAATATCTGTGTGTGTGCCTGAAGACCTGCTACATTGCAGCTTCTCACCAACGTGAACGTTTGGATCAATGTGGAGAGCTGAGAGTGTAAAAACAGGGAGGGAGGGGGAAAACAAAAGGGAAAAAAAAAAAGATGATGCCAGAACTTGACTCCCAGTGGAGTCCATTCTACCACTTGTGGAATGGGCCTTTAACACCAAGCTGCTAAAAGGCCATCTTAAAAAAAAAAAGAAAATAAAATGTCATGTAAATAGATGAACAGTCTTTCAAGAGTTCAGTCCAGATGTCGCATCCAGGTGGTGATTTTCACACAGCTTAATAGCGAAGACTGAAGTTATTGCAGGAACAGATAAAACTTCTTCCCAATACAAAATGTAGTCCAAAGGGCTTACTTACACAGTAAGCAAGATATCTTACGTAATGGAAGATTGCATGTTGTCCTCCTCCTGTGCAGCAGCTTTCAGAGAGCCACGCAAAGAGAACAACACTCTCAAGCTGCCAAAGGGAGCGGGGGAAAGAGTCAGTTCATTTCTTCTGAAAGAAGCCCATGATGGAGACCTGTTTGTTGGCCCTGCTGGCTGTGGCTGCCCCTTTCTTCTGGTTCTTCCTCTCTTCCTTTGGTTCCTTCTTCACAGGCAGTGCAGGTTGCTTGGGGGCAGCTGGTGGCTTGGTCTTGGCGAAGTCATCCTCGCTGTCTGTACAGGATTCACTCTCGTAAACCTTCTCAGTCACTAGTTAAGAGAGAAGAACAGATGGTGCTGGTTAAGCATGCATGTTGAAGAGCAGCAACATCCCCCCTGCAGCCTTCCCACTGCACTTCTGGAAACGAGCATTGTGGTTCAAGCATTCCAATGGGAATTAAGTCCAACCCTCAAGGTTATACGGTACATTCAGGCTGGTTTTGTATACACTGGGTTAAACTGCCTCCACAGAGTCAAACTGACTTCCTTCTTTCCTAAGCAGCAGACAGTAGATGGATGAGCTGGGAGCTTGAACACTGTCCAGCTCTTTCAAAATGAGCTGACATCCCCAGGGATGTTCCCCTGCAGGCCATATGCACACCTTAAACACGAGCAGCCTCCCATTGGGAAGGGCTCCTGGAAAGACAGCTCCTGTTCCAAATTATTCAAGAATCACCATGAATCTTCAAGATTCAAGGGCCACTGGTGTGCATCAGATGGCCAAAAAAAGCAAAGCCAACACAGAGAAGAGGGGCACAGAACTCCATTGGCAGCTTCCTCAACGCAGGAGGGCAAACAGGGCAAAAAAAAATAAAGAAATGCCTTAAAAAGATCACAAAACTGAACCTATCACCAAAATCAAGGACTGTTACTGAATGGGATTGCTGGCTTGTTACAGTCAGCATCCCATGGTGGAAAGCTAAGGGATATAAAGCAGCACTCACTGAAATGAAACCGAGTCCATTGCACCGACCAAAGCCATCATTAGATACTAGTAAACGTTGTTCTATCAGCCTTCCCAGCAGTGCTCTGGTATTCTTCTAGTAAACTATTTCTTTTTAGCAACTGTATTCTTTTAAACACACGTCCTAACTGCCATTCTTCTGGGAAATTAGCTCCCCGTTGTGTTAATGCATCAAACCACACCAGGATTTCTACGTAACCGCCCTGCGAAGAGGAACGGTATGAAATCCTGCTCTGCAGAGAGCAGATGCTCAGACAGGGACCATAAATCCACGCTGACTTCCTGCAGAGGGAACTGACCTCTGAGGGAGCAGCGTTAGCAGATTGCTGGCCAGTTCCTGAGCTTGAAAGACTTACAGCACTGTCACCCTGTCGGTAATTGTTGGTAACAAAGCACGTGCTTAATCCCCTCCCATTACGAAATAACAGTTTGCGTTGGTTCTTCTAGTGAGATTGCAAATGGATGTAAGAATTCCGTGCTCGTGGCAGGCCATGCCAATGGATTGTTGATGCTCAGCTCAGCCAGATGTGCTGCATCACTGTAACTCAAGTTATGGAGTGCAAGTATCCAGTTATGCGTGCGAGCTTTAACTTAAACCAGTGCCATACAACCAATTTGCTTACAGTGGAGACACATTTATTCCAATACTGAAATCCACGTGTGTCCTTCAAGCTTTAGAAAGCGTGAGGTGGAGGTGCATAAGCTTAAACCTCAGCAATGCCCCTTTGCTACAGCATGCACTTGGCTGCGTCCCTGTTGATGCACGGTAACATGCCTTAAGCCCAGCTCCACAGAGACTTGCTCAATTTCCCTCAGGACTAATCCCTAAATTAGTTTTGCTTTTTGACACCAATTCCTCGCTATTGCAGCTATTGTGAAAATGGCCACTTCAAAGCGTGGAGAAATAGAAAGGACAGCCTAACTCCAACATTGGGATTTAATGTCTCTGCACCACTGTCCTTGTGGACATCAAGGAGGGAAAAAGAAAAGCTGTCTTTCAAAGAATACCAACAACTTACATCAGCCTGGGAGATCAGCAGGTTATTTAGCCCTCAGATGGTTAGTTTTGTGCAAGGAAAAGGTGGGTGAGGAGTGGGATAAGCTGGACCATAATCAGACTGCAAGTCCTGTGCAATGAACTGGTTGGCTCTCAGTGTGGAGAAAAACACCTCCTTCCTCCCCACTCTCAGTATCCTGGCTCGATCCCTCCTGCCTTCCCAGGTGCACTGCCTCCCAAAGCCACAACAGTGGCTTCCATTTCCCTTTCCATACACAATGGCAGTGGATAGGAACCATAAATCCCCAAGTCTGAGTTTCACAGGAGACTACAAAACCTCTTGGGAATGGGGAGAAGGGAAAGTGGGCAGACTTCCCAACCCTGGTACATTTGGAAAAGGCTGAAGAGAAAGCAGCACTCTTTGCTGGAAGCTGAACCCAGAGCCCTCATTAGTGCGAGCTCTGGATGCAGATTTCTTGAACTCGAGTCCCCTGCTCATGCTTTTTTGATCCATTTTCCTCCCAGGCATTTTAATGATTCTATTTGGGATGGGAGCACAAAAACACCCCATAACACAACAAGCCAAATCAGTCAGCAACACCTGTGCAAGTCCAATACCTTGACAAAAATCCAGGGCTTGAGATTTCAGTTACCAGCACAGATAGTTGCTGAGTGCCAGCCTTGTTTCTTTAAAGGAGATGCACAAATCCAATAGGAAACATAAGGCACAACCACACAGATAGGTGCAAACACACAGGTTGACTCGTGTGCATGCAGCTCTAAAGCTGGGCCAAGCAAGGCTGTATCTGTGCACAAAAACAAACCTGTGCAACAGCCACAGGTCTTCTAGAATTGCCTGAGCTCCCTTGACATCTATTAAGATGAAGAATGCCAGGCACATCGTATGATTTAGCTGACAACATCACTACAAAAGAAAAAAAGAAAACCACCACATTTTGCCCTCTTCAAGTTTTAAAACCTTGAAGGAGAAAAAGGATTCTGAACTCCTGCAGCTCTGCTTCAGTGCCAGGATACAGAGAAGGAAAGGAGCACAGTGGTGTTACACAACTTTCTCCAGGTCACAGGAGGAAGCAGTGTAGATCAATTCGAAGCTTCTGGCTTTCAACAACAACTCTGAAGCCTCCACCCAGGCCTTCACAGAAAGGGCAGCTACCTCAACCTGGGAGCACGAGGTGGAAAGCAGAATGACAAAGCGATGCTGTCATATTATGAACCTCCTCCTAAGCCCACAAGAGGCTGACCCATAAAAATCTTCAGTACAAGTGCAGTAAAAGTTGGACCTGCAGAAGCGTGGGAGACAGCCACTCTTACCCATGCAGCCTTCCTCTTCATCAACAAACATTTTGGATTTCAGCACACGCTTCCGTTTCCTCTTCTTTCCCCCAGTTGAAGCCTGAAGGACATCACAAGATAGTGAGGCATCAAGAGTTAAAGCCCTGTGCATGGCCTCAGGGCACGAAAGCATCCACCCCAGGAGTCTCTCTGACCAAACTGATAGAGAACGTTTTGTGAATTCCCTTCCCTCCTCAGGACAGGCCAGTTTAAGTCTTGCTAATGCCACTGTTCTCCCCGTCCCACCAGGAGAAACCAAACAATTGAAATGAGACAGCAGCTTCTTCTGTCTGCCAGCACAAGGGGCGCATTCCTCTTGCAGGGCACACGACATTCTGAAACGTGTTTAGCTCTGTGTGGGGTTGTTTCATTATACCTCTGAAGAACGAGGAAATAACAAGGTGTGCATGATACCAGGATGCATGCTGTGACGAACAGCTGTGCTTTCAGTAAAGCTACACGTGCTTTTTCAGCTCAGGGGTTGACTTTGTGCCAACTAGAGCCCACCTCTCTTACGCAGCAGCGATACAAAGTTGAACACTGAGGTTCTCTAGTTTCATTCTGGCCCTGCCTCGACTCCAGAGGCCAAGATTCAGAGGGGAGAGTGTAAAACGCGAGCAACAATTCATAGAGCCATTAGGAGGATAAAAGGGAAGAGAACTGTGCTATATCAGCAGAAAAAAAGCAGAGTTTAAGTAAAGTTGTGCTCTGGACAATGAATGAAGCAGTGAACACGATGGATTCTTTCAAGGTGGATCATGTGATGGACGTGGCAGATGAACAGAACCATCCCCTTGGCATTGGAAAGTGGCTGAGCAATCCCCATCGTGTCAAATGAAAGCAGAAGTTCATCACCATGATGTGAGCTCACCTCAGCGGATGCTGGCTCCAGCTCAGCCTTCAGAGCAGGTACCAGAGGTGGTGGAGATGGAGCTTTCTCTTCCTGGAGTGTGGGAGATGCTGGGACACCTGCCAAGAAGAATACACAAACACCTTAGCAGCAATCAGGTGCAACGTCCCCTTGCCTCTACCACTGTCTCATGTCATGCCACCTAATTTAACTCCGAGTAATTGCTTACAACTTGAATTTAACTTGAGATTTACAACTTCTAACTCAGATCTGAAGACAACACGTTCCAAGAAGCCATCTCTAACCCGACTGCTCACCCTGCACCAAGGTGCCACGTGCTGGGGCTCCTGAAGAAAGCATGGTCAAGGATGGGACAGGATGGGAGAAGCACGTTTGGTGTTTTTGGAAAACCACACTCAGCCTCACTGAGCAAAGCTTGGATTTCGGTTTTCCAAGCCGAAATCAGAATGTTTCAGGCATGTATTTCACCTGTTCAGAAAGAAAAGGGACTGCAACCTGTACAGGAATTGAAAGAGTCGGGGCTAAGGCTACGTATTCTCAAATCACTGCATGACTTCTCTTTCTCTGCCTCTGCCTGAGTGGCAAAAGAGTAATTGCTTCAGAAATGGCATTTCAAATCCCAAATGATCAACCCTATTAGCTTGAAATTGCCTACATAGAATCACAGAATGGCCTGGGTTGCAAAGGAGCACAGTGCTCACCCAGCTCCAAGCCCTGCTGTGTGCAGGTCACCAACCAGCAGCCCAGGCTGCCCAGAGCCACATCCAGCCTGGCCTTGAATGCCTGCAGGGATGGGGCATCCACAGCCTCCTTGGGCAACCTGTGCCAGTGCCTCACCACCCTCTGCCTCCAAAACTTCCTCCTCACATCCAACCCAAACCTCCCCTGTCTCATTTTAAACCCCCCCTTAATTCAATTCATGCAAGAATTAAACATGATACTGCCCACCCCACAAGATTTGAAGGAACACCACAGGGAAAAAAAAACAAAAACAAAATCCAAACCATTCCAAAAAGCGAGGTCCATTCTCCCATCTGTCACTGCATTCATCTTTGTGCAGCAGATGGATGCAGTGACTGAGATGCTGGAATCCCTCCAAGGCTTGCACTGCCCCACATGGTCAGGGCCACCTCCCCAGCTTTGTATGGTGCTTTGTATGGCTTCAAGCTACGGCAGGGGAGATTCAGGCTGGACATGAGGAAGTATTACTTTTCGGAAAGGGTGGTCAGGCACTGGAATGGATGCCCAGGGAGGTGGTGGAGTCACCGACCCTGGGGGTGTTCAAGGAAAGACTGGATGTTGTATTGAGGGACATGGTTTAGTAGGAGCTATTGGGAATAGGTGAACGGTTGGACTGGATGATCTTTTAGGTCTTTTCCAACCTTGGTGATTCTATGATTCTATGAAAACCAACGCTGGAGGGTCTCACCAACACGAGACAGGGGCGAGACCAGCAGGTACAAGAAGGTCGAGGTCACTTCTATGGGGCTGGCAGAAGCACAGAGCTGCGACAGCTTAACAAAATCAAGGCAAGGACGAGGGGGGGGGGGGGGGACAGGAGCAGCACTGTGACTAATTGAAATGACTTCAACGAATCCTCTCCAAGTCCACCTACGAAATACTGCCATGCAAGCCCTCAACTGCGGGGGAGAGCAAGGAATGTGGGGGAAGAAACTCCTCATCTGACCTATTGCTTAACAATAACAAGGCTGCGGCTGGCTGCGAGGACAGAGCGCTGCTTGGCTTCTCCTCCCAGCCCTGCTGGCTGCAGTGCTGCCTTCACGCTGTCGTCGTAACACGAATTTTGGATCCGTAGCTGTCCCAAGTGATTAGGTCAGTGTGAAGAGTTACGACTGTGCCAGGCGTGCGGCCAGCTGACCTTCATAGGTTAAGAAGGGCTCAAGCGAAACGGTGGTTGGCTGCCAAGGCTCAATAATAAATTACATTCTTCAAACGAGGACTCAGCCTCCTAACTACTGCAGTAAGCGAGGCACAGAAATGCAAACAGAGTGGGATAACATGACTCGGGATTTCACCTTGCTCCAAAGCACCGGGTCTGGCAGCCGTGCTAAGGTAAAACCAAACAAGGGACCTGCTTGGAGGTGCTCACTGCTGGGGGACGGCAGCAAGGACTCAAAATCCTCAATATTCCTCCCAGCCTCACGGCAGCTGCAGGCTGAAAAGCCCACAAGTTGCACAGCACCGAACTCTGCAGGCTACCCGAGCTGGCTGCATCCACTGCAAAATATTTGTAAGGAGTGTGGATGATAGGAGGGCTGAAAAGGCAGCCTGTGAGAAGCTGTCAACCTCTGCCCGAGGGGTTTTTGGGGGGTTAACCTCAACTGCTTTTGCTTGGGGGAAATTTGGGTGATTCCCCAGCCTCCTCTGAATGACTTACCCCAGGCTTTGGCAGGCAGAAAGCACCTCCTTCCCACGGCAGTGCTTCAGACCACCATCGAGCTGTGGCTCTGTTGCTTTGTTATCCTCTCGCAGCCAGCAAAGCCCTCTGACATGTGATAACTCCTGAGTCAACCTCTTGCTGCTGCCCACAGTTTACTCACCAGCAACAGCTGCGTGAAATGGATACACGTTGGGCAACTGGATGTACCAAAAGATGTAAATCCTGGCTTTGTTTGGTTTGCACTGACCCTGCCTGGAAAAACTGTGAGAAGCTTTAATGCTTTTGCTGCAGCTCTCTGAAACTGATAGAGTTTGTAGGTTACAGTGCCACTGAAATCACCCTCCAAAGTGGCTGTAAAACACTTGTCAACACTATGAAACTGCGCTGGTGTTGGTATAGCTGGAGCTGCCAAACCTCCTGTCCTCTGTGGACACACTTGTGTAGTTTATTCTGGCACTGGAAGCAAAACAACCTGCAGTGACTAAGGCACCCTCAAACCAATGTAACTTTTAATGAAAAATTATTTTAAATGGAGATGATTGTGCCTCGTGGCCCTCTCTGTATTTTCAGCTTGCTACAATGTGCTGACACTTGTGGAAGAAGAGCTTATTTTGGGCTCCCCACTACCCTTGAAATCATAGCATCATAGAATGGTTGGTTTGGAAGGGACCTCAAAGCCTTCCCATCCCCAATCCCTGTTGTAGGCTGGATGCCCCCCACCAGCTCAGGCTGCCCAGGGCCCCAACCCACAGCCTCAGGCATCTCCAGCCTCCCTGGGCAGCAGTGCCAGGGCCTCTCTGCTCTCTGAGTGCAGAATTTCCTCCTCATATCTGACCTAAATCCCCTTCTTTTAAATTACAGTCATTTCTCCTTGCCCTATCTCCATCTGCCTGTGTAAAAAGTCTCTCTCCCTCCTATCTATCAGCTCCCTTCAGGCTCTGGAAGGCTAAAGCAAGGTCTCCCCACAGCCCTCCCCCTTCTCTAGGCTGAACAACCCCAGCTCCCTCAGCCTGTCTCCATAGAGAGGTGCTCCAACCCAATGGAAATGGTTTGGCTCATTAGTGGAAACAGTGGAAGCTGAGCCAGGAGCCACTGATAGCTCCTCTGGTGGTTTGGCTTCCCATCTCACCCATTTAAAACTTACCCCTTGATCATCTGTGGGTGAATTACGCAGGTGGTGGCTGAGCTGTGCCAGCCTGGCAGCAGTTCCCAACTGCTGTGCAGCATATGGCACCTCTCCCCTGCTCCCATGGGGATGTGGCACAGAACGTTGTCACTCCAGACCCCATTCTACTCACTGATGATGCTGATAAAAACTGCCACTGGTCTCTGTAGAAACCCATTTCCAACCTTTCCAAGGGTAAATACACTATAAATCTGGCTGCTGCACGTTCATTTACACTGTCCCATCCCTGGAGGTGTTCAAGGCCAGGTTGGATGGGGCCCTGAGCAGCCTGGGCTGCTATGAAACGTGGAGGTTGAAGCAGGGAGGGCTGGAGCTTCATGACCTTGAGGTCCCTTCCAAGCCAAGTCATTCCACGATTCTATGACTCAAAAAATAAAGTTTTATCTAGCTTTCATTTTTACATCCCTTTGGTTTCCATCTATTTCAAAGAAATGCTTTCAAACAAAAACAGGGGAGATTTAGACTGGATTTGAGGAAAATAAGAGCAGTGAGGCACTGCACAGGTTGCCCAGGGAGGTGTAGATGCCCAAGGTCAGGGGATAGGGCTGAGAGCACTGATGGAGCTGTGGGTGTCCCTGTGCACAGCAGGGAGTGGGATCTGATGGCCTTTAGGGGTTCCCTTCCAACTCAAATGATTTTATGACTCTATAAAAAAGGGAGAAGACAGGAACTCTCTGATTTCCAATCTTTCCCTTTTGAAAAAGGGAACAGTACAAAGCTGATCTGTAGAACATACAGATTTGTACACACTGTCATCTGCAGAAGTTTACAACACATAATGCAAATCTGTTTCTCTACATGATGGAAAGAACAGAGGACTATGATGCAGGAAGAGCATCAGCAGCGACAAGAAAATCCGATTTCCTGCATCCATCTCCAGCAGGTTAGATACGAGAAAAACAAAAACCAATCCTCCCCACTCAGTAGTGGGTAGGTAACCTTTCTTTTAAGGACTAAAGCTACAGAGAGCAAGGTCAGTAAGTTAACTGGGTTCTCAACCTGACCTTTAGAGGTCCCTTCCAACTCAAATGACTCTACAGACTCAAAAGGTGGGCCTGGGAAAATCTAATGAGGTTCAACACAGCAAAGTGCCAGGTTTGGCATTTGGGCCGGAGGAATCCCAGGCATCCATACAGACTGGAAGGAGCAGTGCTTGAGAGCAGCCCTGCAGAGAAGGACCTGGGGGTCCCGAAGGATGAAAAAGTGAACGTGAGCAAGCAGTGCTCCTGCAGCTCAGAAAGCAAATGGGATCCTGGGCTCCATCAGCAGAGGGGTGGCCAGCAGGGACAGGGAGGTGATTGTCCCCCTCTGCTCTGCTCTTGTGAGGCCCCATCTGCAGCACTGCGTCCAGGGCTGGAGCCCCCAGCACAAGAAAGACAGGGAGCTGTTGGAGAGGGTGCAGAGGAGCCACAAAGATGAGCAGAGGGCTGCAGCACCTCCCTACAAAGACAGGCTGAGGGAGCTGGGCTTGTTGAGCATGGAGAAGAGAAGCTGCGGGGTGACCTCAGTGCAGCCTGCAGTGCCTCAAGGGAGCCTGCAGACAGGAGGGGAGTCAGCTCTGTGCAAGGGGAGATGGCAGCAGGACAAGGGGAAATGGTTGGGAGTTGAGCGAGGGCAGCTGGAGGTTGGATGTCAGGGGGAAGTTGTTTAGAGAGAGAGTGGTGAGGGGCTGGAACAGCTGCCCAGAGAGGCTGTGATGCCCCGTCCATCCCTGGAGGTGTTGGAGGCCAGGTTGGATGGGGCCCTGGGCAGCCTGGGCTGCTACGAAATGCAGAGGTTGATGGCCCTGCCTGCAGTTTGGGGGCCGCACCTTCATGATCTTTGATGTCCCTTCCAACCCCGGCCATTCTGTGATTCTATGAAAAGCAGTGGGTATGCAGCAAGCAGTTCACAGAGCCCTAGGGAAGGCAATCCTCCATTTATGAGTGTCTGCCCCACAATATTAAAGAGTTATAACAGAAGGAGATTTGGAAAACAGACCGTGAGGTCACTTCCCAAACTTGCTGTGTCAGAACTCCATCACGAACACGTGAGGCCAAGGTTCCCTAACTCACAAAAGCTAAAAGCAGATCCAACAACAAGCTTTCCATGCTCCTAAGAACAACCTTTCCATCCATCCCTGAAGCAAAGGATTCCTTTCTGCCTGCCCTCACTAGCAGACGATTGGTGAGCTGAGAGATTCCAGCCCAGCACGGAGCAGCACATCAAGTGGCAATTCCAATCTTCCTCTGCAGAGCACAACAACACAGCTTGTCAGTAAGCTGTGTGATGAGCAAATGGAAAGACCAGATAAGAGCTTACAAACATTTAAAGAAATAAATACCAGGGAGTGTGGGCATACATATATATGTATTTTTTTTTTAGGGCTAAACAAGGAGCTGCACACAGGAATGTGATGAAATTAAGGCTGATCATGACGAATGGCTTCCTGAGAGATTTATCATCCTGTGGCATAGTTTCAGTGGAAGCAATGGATGCCTGATGACAGAGATCACTTGAAATTATGCTGGGTAAAAGAGAAATGATGAAAACAGGCCTAAGGTAGCACAGAGACCTCTAAGATATCCAGCTTCATTCTTGTGTTACAGATTCTCTTCATCTTACGGTTGCTTCTCCATAGCAAATAAGCAAACAGCTCCAGTTCTGCAGTCCCAGCTCTCTCCTAACACAACCTATGAGCCGTTTCACCTTTTTTTTTTTTACTGGAGCTGTACACTGCACTGTTGGTTTCAATTATTTGCCCATAATGATCTCCGAATTCTTTTCCTGATCAGTTTGTTGGATGACTGTTCCACTTAGCACGTATTCCCTAGCTCAGTCCCCAACTTATTTTCCAGTTATCTATATTGAACGGCATTTGTCACCTCAATTATCCAAATTCTTTGGAATCTGCCTCTGCTGTTCCTCATTATAAGCCCAAAATTTGTGACGTTCTGGGCACCCAACTCCTACCAAAGCCAACAGCCACCGAGGAGACGCAGAGTCGCATCGGATATGGCTCAGCTGTTTTGCCTCCAGCTTCTCTATTTAGTTTTTTGGAAATCTTGCTTTCAATGCTGTCTTCCAAACCATTTCTATAAACAGACAGAATAAAGATGCTAAAAATGACCCCGGGAGAGGGAAGGTCACTTTGCAATTGCTTACTAACTAAACTGGTTATGACCAGTCCTGCAGTTCTGGAAGGCACAGTATCTTCCCAGAACCTCCCTTGCACACATCAGCATGACGGGCAGCACACTTGGTGATGAGACAGCCAGATCTGAGCTAAGCTAAAACAAAGACTGAATGACTGAGGCACCCCAACGGAATGCCAAAACGCTCACAGCATTAGAAAACCAGAAAGCTCCAACTGCAGCCATTTGCACGGTTGTCAGTCCTCTCTCAACCCTTCAATCGTTGACCCAACAGCCTTAGATAGGAGCAGTGCTGGAGCCAGGCCCCTGGCCCCACATGGCTGCTTGTTTTTGCATCTCTTACCTTCCTCATCACTGCTGTCAGATTCCAGTTGTTTGATTCTCTTCCTCTTCTTCTTTTGATTTTCGGGCTCTCTTTCCTCCTCGTTGTCAGACTTGTCCATCCTCTTCATTTTACTGCCACAAAGAAAAATTAAAGTAAGGAATGAAAACACACCATCCCTTGTGTGTGCACATGAGAATGCTGCATGCACTGCATACGTTGCTGATAGAAGAGCTGCCAGCAAGGAGATCAAATACCTCTGCTACCTCCTAAAAACATGTGAGCCTCACATGATGAAGTATACTCACCCATACCATCAGACAGAGGTGCAAGGGCATTTTTAAGCCTCTCAACCTTACCCATATTCCGTTCTCTAAAACAAGGAGGACTTCTTCAGCCCCTCTGAAGCTCAGTGTTTTGCCCAGTGCCTCACCTAGCTTGGCCACAGCAAGCTGGCAAGCAGGCATTTCTGATCTTGTCTCTATAGCTCAGGCTCCCAAACACTCATGTCCCCAACAGCATCGCTCAGAAGCTCTTTTGACAGACTGCTCGCCACTGACTGACTATGAGGTAGTGTCTCAGAATCCTGGAGCCATTTTTAAAGACTACTGGAAAAATAAAATAGCTTCTTTCTTTTTAATGTTGGCGAGACACGTCAGACTAACAAGCCTGGAGGCTAAAGGCCCACGTATCCTCATGGAGCTGGTATGGCCCAAGTGGCCTTCCCAACACCACGCTGCCAACACGCCGTTTCCAGGCCCCTGGACTGAATAGGACTATCAATAAGAAGACCAGTTAGCACCAACTGCCATGGTGGGCTGGGTGGTGCACTCACCTATTTAGTTAGCAACAGATTGAGACCACCAATTAATTACTCATAGGCCACCAGAGAGCCATCAGACTGTAATGATTTTTTGTCCCTGTCAGTTTGGGTTGGATTAAACACAAAGGGTTGAACTTAAAATTTACTTGGAGCTTCAGCCCAAAGTAAACCAGCGGCATTGAAAGCAGCAGTACATTTGCTATGGGAATCAACAAGCAGAACTTTGTGTGCTGGGAGCTGTGTACATATAAGCTTGGGAATATACTGCCTTCCCTGCAACACAGGTGCTCCTGCCAGCCCCCACAGATTGCCTGTGGGGTCCGTGTTCAGCCTGCTCACAGCATGAGGCTGTCTCATGGAACACCATCCCCTCCCACTGGACAGTACCTGGACCGTGTCCCTTCCCATTTGCAAAGGCACAGATGGCCCTGAGGCATCCACAGCACTAAATGGAAAAGACCTATTAAGAAAGGATTCTAAGAGAGAGAAATTTAGACACGTTTAATGCTGGTTAGTAGCTGGGAAGAGGAGGCAAGCCAATGCTGTACATCCAGCCAGCTCAACATAAGGCCATCAACAAACAGGTTGAGAAATCACACCACCCTGACTAGAGTGGCCCACCTCTTTTTGTCCTTTTGTTGAATTTTAGCAGGCTCTGTTTTCCTCCCAGGTTTCTCTACCATGGTGTTAGGGGATGACTCTGGTTCTGTTGCAGGAACTGAAGTCTTGACAGCTTCTTTTTCCTCCTTTGGCTGCTCAGGCACTGAGTTGACTTTGAGTTTACCTGTGAATAAAGCATTTAAAAAGTAAAGAATGTACGTATGACAACTCATAAAGGAGTGGGTTAAGCAAAACAGTGCACCAGCAATACAGACAGCACTGCAGATGATGCATAAAAGTTTTAAGGGATCTGGATGGACCAAGCTGAGTAATACAAGGACATGCTTGGGTCCGCAGCTGATTTGCTTCTACTGTTCCTGATGGCACAGCATCAAAGGTGCCAAAGCCAAAGGTGCTGCAGCAGTTCATAAACACTGCAAAGAAGGCTGGAAGGCAGTGGCAGAAGCTGGTATGGTCATTAGGGCCATAAGACACCACAAAGGATTGGGAGCCCATCCCTCTTCTACACATCCCCCCTGACAAAACACCACATCCATCTTTACTGTCAGTTCACTCCTCTTAAATTGGAGCTTTAATTGAGCAAGAAGAGCCCAGAAAAAGAGAAATCAGGATTGATGAAAAGCAAGGAGAAGTGCGTGCAGCCTCCAGCCTGTGTAACATTACTAAAAATACTGAGTGTGGGTTCCAGTGTAGCAGTTTGTCTCTTTCTCAGCTCCAATCTCATCAAGAATCAGTCTCTTTGGCCTATGCAGCACCACGAACACAGGCAATTCTACTGCAAAAGGCTTAACCTAGCACCAGCAAGGTGGGAATGGATAGCAAGTAAAAAAGTCAGGCTAACTTAACAGCATTACCTATCAGGTTAGTCAGATAAGTGTAGGCACATGCAGAGGCCATTTAGAAGCCTGCATCATCCCTAGCAGGAGATCACAGAATGATAGAATGGCCTGGGTTGCAAAGGAGCTCAATGCTCACCCAGTTCCAACCCCCTGCTGTGTGCAGGTCACCAACCAGCAGCCCAGGCTGCCCAGAGCCACATCCAGCCTGGCCTTGAATGCCTGCAGGGATGGGGCATCCACAGCCTCCTTGGGCAACCTGCTCCAAGGAAATGGATGGGAAAAGCATCTAACAATGAGATCAAGAAGAGCAGAGGCTGCTGAGGGCTCAGAACGCCAACATCTTTCTCAGTGCTCAGAAGATGGGCTGGCTGCCTGACTGAATGAGGGAAAAAGCTCCAAAGGAGGAGCCTGAGTGACAGCTATCTTCTTTATCATTGATAGCACAGGGCTGGAGGACACAACTATTGCTAACTCAGGGCTTTCTGGCAATGGTGAAGTCTTTGAAGCCAGAAAAGGCACACTGACACATGGGGATTAAGTCTTACCTCTGGAATCACCCTATTTTTTCTATACACGTAATCATTTCCAGTTCTGCCCAGTTTGCTGGGGGCTCAGGAGAGGACCTACCCCCACTGGAAGTGACTGAAATACATCCACAAATTTATCCTGCCTTATCTTCACCACGCAATTTCAATTTCCTGAGTTTTTAGAACGTGAGCTTTTGGTCCAGGGCCCTTCAAAGACGTAAGAATGTAATGAAGTTAATTGCAGTAAGTGCCCTTGGACTTGGGAGTCTCAGGCTGAAAGCACTGTGTGCAATCTGCTACACCAAAACAGGAGCTCCAAGATGTCCATCAGCACTGCAAGCTGTGCTCATTGACTGTACCCTGCAGATTTTAACAGCTGCTTGCTAGACAGCAACCTTTGCCATTTACTCCTTCCCAGCAACTCTTCTTCTAATCCCCTGGGATTTTTGATTGGAAGAGCATCTTTGAAGAACATTCTGTAGTGCTTTTCCAACATCTAATCAAAAGCTTTGGCATGCTTTCTTTAGCCATGGGCAGCTTCAGTTGGAAGGAGCCTCCAGAGGCCATCTAACCCCCTGCTCAAAGGCAAAGACCATCTCTCATTTTTCTATGCTGATTAGCAGCTCTGTGCAGTCTGCAGGATAGGAATTAACCCTAAATCTTAACTAGAGGCTCCTCAGTGATTTGTGATGAAAAGTGAGCATCATTAACGTGCTCAGTGCAACAGGTTTTGGCAAACACTCTGCCAATAGCTGATCGTTCAGCCAACAGTGCTCACTTCAAATCAGCTAAAAATCCTTCCTGGGTTAGTCTGCACAAATACGTCATCTTAATTGATCTCTACCCAGCAAGCTTGTTGTCTGAAACATTCCACTTACAACTTTAATTTTTGCCTTAAGAGCTGCATGCCAAAAAAATTAACCCCTCTGAGTTCAAAAGAGCAGAAGAATGATAGAAAGGCCTGGGTTGCAAAGGAGCTCAATGCTCATCCAGCTCCAAGCCCTGCTGTGTGCAGGTCGCCAAGCAGCAGCCCAGGCTGCCCAGAGCCACATCCAGCCTGGCCTTGAATGCCTGCAGGGATGGGGCATCCACAGCCTCCTTGGGCAACCTGTGCCACTGCCTCACCACCCTCTGCCTCCAAAACTTCCTCCTCACATCCAACCCAAACCTCCCCTGTCTCACTTTCAAGCCATTCCCCTTGTCCTGTCACCACCCACCCTCACACACAGCCGTTCCCCCTCCTGTTTATCTGCTCCCTTCAAATATTGCAAGGCCACCATGAGGTCTCCCTGCAGCCTTCTCTTCTCCAAGCATGATGTGGAGAACCTGAAGAAAAATGAAGGATATCAAGGACATCCAACAAGCCTCATGCCACCAGGGTGGGGCGAACAGGGGGTGAGCAGCTCTGCTCCCTTTTCACTATTCATACCTCCCCAACACAGCTGCACAGCCAGGCACCTGCCATCACTAATTACTTCTAATTACTGCTTAGCTAAAAAAAATAAAATAAATTGATTTCCAATATCCCTCAGGACTTTCATTTATATATTTTTTGACTACAGAGGGTTGGTACCTAACCACAACTGACACCTGGCATCGAGCACTTACTCATGGCAGCTTTTCCAAAGAAGTTGTTCATGATGTTGGCCTTTGCTGATGGCTTACTGCTCGCTGCAGACACCTGGAAGCAAACAGAGGAGTAACCACAGGAATTATTCACGAAACACAGCCCTCAAAATGCACAGCACTGCTTCTGGACAAACAGAATTAACACGTATAACTTGCTGCCTGGTCAGCATCTCAGCTTTCAACACCTGTGTAGGAGAATTTGAGAAGAGTAGATAATAAATGGATCAAAAGGTTGAGAGTCCCTCGGCACTCTGTAGGCTGGGCCTTCAGAGCTAACCTAGGTCACATTCCATCTGATGGCTCACAGTGTTACTGAAACAAGTGGTTGGGATTTGGGTCTGTTCCCAGCAAAGAACTGTTCTTTTTTTTTTGCAAAATATCAGTGCCTCAATTCATGGTAACCGTCAGAGGAAAGAACACAGATTGGCCAAAGCATGAAGACTTTCTCCAGCTCCTCTGGCACAAATGCTGCACTGCTGAGCAGTCTGCAAAGAACTATCATTGCTCCATTCCATTCCTATAGCCACTAGCAAAAAGAAAAATCACACACACAAACACACACACCTAGGAGAGCTTGGTCTCCTAATCCCATTTATTTTCACGTAAAACAACCAGACGCTAAACTTTCCTAAACATTCAGACAAGCACGTTTCATCAGTTCTAAATCACAAAAATGAACCAAAATGTACTCCATTGTTATATAAAAAAAAAGCCAAACCACGCACAGAGAACATTACCATTTTAATACCCACTTGGAGGCCACACTGCTTTAAAAAGACTTGTGCTAATTAGAATTAAAACATAATCCTGTGCTGGAAAAAAGCAGCAGCTGGGAAGATAAACATTCTAGTCTTGCACAGGTCAGGCTCTGAAGCTTCCCTCGCAGACCAAGTTTAAACACCTTGATACTTTTAAGACCTGGGCTTCTCACATTTCACATATTGCTCAAAACAAATCCTTTTAAGCACAATAGAGAGCACGAGATCCTCAACTGGTGTATATATTGGCATAACTGAAGACAATGGAACAATTGCCTCAATGATGCAGCTATGCTGGTTTACACTAGTTGAAGATCTGGCTCAAAGAGGAACGTCAAAGTGTCAAAGTGATGGCAAATACACTTCAGTGGGCAGGTCAAGAGTGTGGCACATATACTTCCCTCAGAGGGGACTTGATGACAGAAGGCATCTTCTGTGACTGTGACACAGTTAAACACCTACAGAAGCACCTGAGCTGCCCAGCAGGCAGCAAGCTTAGCACTGGAAGCAGAGGATGAGGCTGCAGAGTGGCTGGTTAAGGTTAGCTAAATTCATAGCATCATTAAGGTTGGAAAAGAGTTCTAAAATCACCAAACACAACCCATCCTCACTGTGCCCATTCCTCATGGTGGCCTTGCAATATTTGAAGGGAGCGGATAAACAAGAGGGGAAATGGCTGTGTGTGAGGGTGGGTGGTGATAGGACAAGGGGAATGGCTTTAAAGAGAGACAGGGGAGGTTTGGGTTGGATGTGAGGAGGAAGTTTTGGAGGCAGAGGGTGGTGAGGCACTGGCACAGGTTGCCCAAGGAGGCTGTGGATGCCCCATCCCTGCAGGCATTCAAGGCCAGGCTGGATGTGGCTCTGGGCAGCCTGGGCTGCTGCTTGGCGACCTGCACACAGCAGGATGGAGCTGGATGAGCATTGAGCTCCTTTACAACCCAGGCCATTCTGTGATACGATTCTATGATGTGATAACGTCCCCAGGTGCCACATCTACCCTCTTCTCAAACACCTCCAAGGGCAGTGACTCCACACCTCCCTGGGCAGCCCATCCCAATACCTTACCACTCCTTCAGCAAAGAAACTTTTCTTAACAACCAACATGAAGAGCAAAGCTAGAAGAGCAGTTCATTAAAGCCGTTAACCCAAAGGGTCTGACGTCACTTACACTTGGAGCCTCCTTAGCTTTGGGTTCTTTATTTGTATCCTGGGCTTTGGAAGCAGCTTTGGCTGCAAACATCCCCATGATCCCCTTGGGGGGCTGCGAGCTCTGCTTAGCAGCTGTAGGACCGTGGCCATTGAGTGGTGGTGTGCTGACAGTGCTTGTGTCACTCGGTGTCTGGGAAGCAGCCCGTGCCAACGTCCGTGCTTGAGCAACTTCAGCTGGAGCCCTGGGGACTGCATCAGCACAGCGAATGGCACTGAACCTGTGTGAAGGAGTGAGAAATTGAGTTAACCTCTGGGGTGTCCACCTCCTCTGGGGTGTCCACCTCAGCTCCCTCCCAGGCAGCGCATTGCTTCTCCTGTTCCGCATTCTCCTGTTAAGGGAAGAGCAATTTAATTTGTGCCAGGGCTGGCACTGAGGAAAAAAAAAGAGGGAGACCTCTACTGAAAAGATCAGCTGGACCTGTCAGCAGGAGCCAGAGCATTCAGATGCAAAACAAGTTCAGATTTTATGGGGGAGGAGGGAGCCCATCTTCACACCCAGGGTGGGGATGGAGTCAACTGCATTCTATTCCTAAACTGGTTGCACTCCCTCAGGCTTGCAGCAGACATAGCTTTGCTATCTGATGAGCTTTACAACTTTCAGATGCTTTGACAAGAGTCCATTACAGCTGCAGCAAGCAGGTAAGGAGATCACAACTGCAACCCAACTGCTGAGGTGGCTCCCAAGACATCGAGGGACTTCGCTATATAAAGGCATTTCCATGCAATCTCTTGCAGACGGAGATGCATCTCAGCTTGCAGCAGTCTGAAACGTGATTGTCTGAGGGAGGCTGAGATACAAGAATTGAACGACGTGCTCACAGTTACAACACAAGTCACTGACAGTCAGGAATAGCTGTACCCAAAAATAACCCAGTTCTGCTCCCCACTGTGCGAATCACAGGCGAGGCTTTCCAGATTTCCTACAGCAATGCCACAAAAGAGCACGGGCTCACGCCTCCCCATCCATGGAATGACACAGCGTGTTTTTATTTGCGTAAGAAAGCAAGCAGTTCTCTGCCAATTAATTGCCTCAGCATTAGCAGTCCACTTTGACTCCCATCACAAACTGAAACGCATCAGCAAATATCTGTATGGCACTTTGAGGTTGCAGCAGCCATCTCTCGACATCCAAACCTTTAAAGGAAGGAAAGACGACATCGAGGGAAAATATTCCCCCTTTCCTTTCTACTTTCAGCCTCTTTTCAGCTCACTGCTACTCCATAAACACTCGTGGGCAACACCAGAACTCACCAGATTACAAACGACACGTGATCATCAATGGCTGTATTGAGTGTGCAGCAAAGCACATCTCAACCTCACGCACCTCTGGGAAGTTACCTTGCCTTAATGCTGCTGTGTGACTATAGCTCGTGGGCTCCATCCAAAATTCACTCAATAATCACTGAAAAAACAAGCAATGTTTGGACTGTGCTCTGCAAGCAAGGAGCTGCTTCCGCTTGGAAAGCTGACATTAGCAACATACATTAAATCCAGCTATTTACATGAGGGCACCAAGTCACCTCCACTGCCTTCGCAGCATAAGAGGTCCCATACAAATACAGAGGAGAATATATAGATCCTGGCCCCAGAGCTTATGAGATATATGGACTGAGAAGGAAATAAGAAGCCAGTGGGTTCTGTTTGCTATAAACATGCACATAGTCAGAGCTCTGTGCTCGCAGGGACTGTGGGGATCTCATCCCAGCTGTAACAGACTGCTCATGTAGTGGACAAGTCCAAGGGAGAGGGAACAGGGCTGGTCTGAATTTCGTTCAGCCAGCACACAGATGAAGAAGCTGCGTTTTTCTCAGTTTGTTTGGGAATTTCTGCTCCAAAGCCAGGAGGAGAATTAAACCTAGGCTGCAGAAAGCAGATTTCAGAACCTGCACTGTCTAAATCTGCTGCATGTACAAATCTGAAAGGCAAGCATCTCTAAGACACAGGCACCCCCATGTGGGGCTAGCCCACAGTAAACAGCAGAACAAGGTGAAGGCAGCCAGAAAAACGCCATACCTCTCCCCTGAAGCTGGGCTTTCCACTGCCTCCTATGGCACTGACATTCACATCTCAAATGCAGTTTCTAAGATCTTATTCTTCACCCAGAGGGTGGTGAGGCACTGGCACAGGTTGCCCAAGGAGGCTGTGGATGCCCCATCCCTGCAGGCATTCAAGGCCAGGCTGGATGTGGCTCTGGGCAGCCTGGGCTGCTGCTTGGCGACCTGCACACAGCAGGGCTTGGAGCTGGATGAGCGCTGTGCTCCTTTGCAACCCAGGCCATGCTAGGGATTCTAAGATGGTTTGCAGGAACTCATTCCCCGTATGGAAGTGTGAACAAGCGTTGTTTGTGGTTGGATTAGTAGAAGGTTGCCTTAGAATTCAGAAGAACTTCAGCCTCGTTCTTTCCCTCTGTGTAGTGCCTGGCGTCTCTGATCTTTCATTCAGATGCATTTCCACTCTGACAGCTTCATCTTGCTGCAGTTGCTACGTGCAGCACCATGGGCACTGTGTGTTAGAAGGAGGGTGGATGCTCCTTCTAGCTTCTACAACACTAAGTTGTAGAAAGAGTATGGAATACAAGAGTAGAAATGGAACTGCCTTCAAAATGCTCACAACAGTGTGAGAAAATCATAGAATGACAGAACGGCCTGGGTTGCACAGGAGCACAGTGCTCCTCCAGCTCCAAGCCCTGCTGTGTGCAGGTCACCAAGCAGCAGCCCAGGCTGCCCAGAGCCACATCCAGCCTGGCCTTGAATGCCTGCAGGGATGGGGCATCCACAGCCTCCTTGGGCAACCTGTGCCAGTGCCTCACCACCCTCTGGCTCAAAAACTCCCTCCTAATACCCAACCTAAACCTCTCCTGTCTCACTGTAAAGCCATTCCCCTTGTCCTATCACCATCCACTCTCGTAAACAGCTGTTCCCCCTCCTGTTCACATGTAGTGAAAGGTCACAAGATCTCCCTGAGCCTTCTCTTCTCCAAGCTCAACAAGCCCAGTTCCCTCAACCTTTTCTCATAGGAGAGGTGCTCCAGCCCTCTGACCACCTTAGTGGCCCTCCTCTGGGCCCTCTCCAGAGAGGTGGAAGAGACCAAAGAGCAAAGGCACAGACCCATAAAACAGAAGGCAAGCTCAGGTTACTGCTTTGCTGAACAAATCACTTGTGCTTTTGTACTGTTTCAATTTACCCTTCCTGTGTGACAGAGAACTGGATAAAATCGGGGATGATTAAGTGTGGCCAGGAAATGAGAAAAATGTTTCTAGCCATCTGACAAGAAAGGTACTGGAACTCTGCTGGAATAACAGAGTAAGTGAAGCAACTGTAAGCTGGAAATAGCTCCGTTTATAAAGCAATCATCAACGTGCTGTCTGGGGACTGGTTTGGCATGGCTCTTCTCTAGCTTTCTAAAAATCCAGGCATATTTGGTAACCACTGCCTTCTGCTGAAGTGCACTGGGTAACAACGTTTCATCAGTCTGGACTCAGGCAGCATAAGAAGTAAAACCAAGGAGCAACTCACTTGCTGCAGTTGTGCAGGTTGGTTTTGATGATATCGTAGTCCGTGTTGTAGAGCGGCCCGCTGTCTTTGAGCAGGGCTTTCTGAATGCTGTACACATGGATGCTGGTAACCGTGGTCAGTTTAGACTTTATTGCTGGGTGGGGAGAAAGAAGAGACCTCTGTTAGCACAGCCATTAAAGAACCAGGGGACAGCTCTACCTGAATTCATAGAATGGCCATAGAGGAGCACAGCGCTCATCCAGCTCCAAGCCCTGCTGTGTGCAGGTCGTCAACCAGCAGCCCAGGCTGCCCAGAGCCACATCCAGCCTGGCCTTGAATGCCTGCAGGGATGGGGCATCCACAGCCTCCTTGGGCAACCTGTGCCAGTGCCTCACCACCCTCTGCCTCCAAAACTTCCTCCTCACATCCAACCCAAACCTCCCCTGTCTCACTTTCAAGCCATTCCCCTTGTCCTGTCACCACCCACTCTCACACACAGCCGTTCCCCCTCCTGTTCATCCGCTCCCTTCAAGCACTGAAGGCCACCATGAGGTCTCCCTGCAGCCTTCTCTTCTCCAAGCTCAACAAGCCCAGTTCCCTCAGCCTTTCCTCACAGCAGAGCTGCTCCAGCCCTCTGCTCATCTCAATGCCCTCCTCTGGGCCTGCTGCAAGAGCTCCACCTCTTCATACAAATCTCAGCGTTTGCCTTCACAAAACCCAGCATCTGGAATCCAGAATATCTACACGTCCACCTAAAATTCGGCAAGAAAAGGATGGTGATACCCTTATGCTGCTGCAGCTGCTCCCTGCCATTAAAGATACCAACTAAAACTGCAGGGTTTCCTCCATTAATCCACTGAAATCAATGTTTTGTCTCTTTGGCTCTATTTAGACCGCAGCCTTGAGACCAGAGCTGCTTTCTTTTTTATTTTAAGCAATTCTTTGTTCTCTGCTTCTATCGCTCTTTCCACGCCGCCCTGGTTTGAGACGGAGCTTCGAGGCACTGCAAAAATACACTCAGTAATCATTTCTTGGGGCCAGTCCTAGTCTGAACAGCCCTGCTCCCATCGCAAAGCTCAGCCTCTTCCAAATGTAAGTCAGACCTTTGGCTGGCTTTGAATACAAAAAGCATGAACAACTCTGCTCTTCCCACCAGTACACAGCACACATAATTCAGCAGACCTGACGGATAGTAGCTGCACTGCTTGACAACACCCTGATGAAGACAACTTCACTAGAAATCTACCTCACATTTCAAAGAAAAATAACACAAGTCAGGCCATTCATACTGATGGTAAAGGTCACAAACACCACAGCTTGTTCTCAAACACCAAAGACGTTACTTGAAAGCGACAATGTCACTTTGCAGCTGTGTTTCTGTTGTCATCAGTGCTCATTAGCAGGATCAGACCTGCAAAAAGACTGAACAGAATCCCTGTTGACTAAAATGTGCAGCGGGGAAATCAGACCTCAGTCCCAAGGCTGCAAAGTTACTGAGCTGTTGGCTCAGATGGTCAAAATTCTGAGAAACAAACTGGTACAAGAAGTACACACCTGAACTGCACACAGCCTGACCAGGCACTTCATGCACAGATGCCAAGTGCTGAGCTCTGCTCACTTTGTTGTTCTTTCAAAGCAGAAAAGCATTTTGGAACAGGTTGCCCAAGGAGGTTGTGGATGCCCCATCCCTGCAGGCATTCAAGGCCAGGCTGGATGTGGCTCTGGGCAGCCTGGGCTGCTGGTTGGTGACCTGCACACAGCAGGGCTTGGAGCTGGATGAGCATTGAGCTTCTTTGCAACCCAGGCCTTTCTATGATTCTATGATTCATCACCTTACAATCCACTTACCTTCCAGCTTATCCTCTCTCACTACTGCAACCTTGTGGCACTGTAAGAAAAAAAACCAACAAAAACAAATTGCAATCTTAAGATTTGAAAATATTTGTAATATTTGTTTTACATAAGATCAATATCTTCATTTCTCTACTGAATGAGAAAGCCTGCAGGTTAGAGGTGCAGCTTTACAGCTGCCCAGGACTGTGCCACTACCTTTAAATGGTCATCAGCCACTGATTTCTAAAGCTACAGCTTCCCATTTTTCTCATACACTATTTCAGAACTCAGAAGAAATGCTCAGTCCTCCATTCCTGACATCAGGAGATGAGATGCAGAAGAAAATGAGAACAAAACAATGCAGCACAGCTGAGAAAAGCAAAGAGATGCAGCTGTTGACCAACTGCTCCAAAGCTGATGCACTGGCCCATGTATCTCTACAATGCCTGCAAACTCAAAGTTGCAATATTTAGCAAAGATGTGGCACCAGAGAAGCAAGCCACAATGAGAAACTCAGCATTAATTAAACAGCCAGAAATGAGTGCTCCCAGAAATGCACTCCTACAGCATGTATTCTTTCCAGGCTTCAAGTATCACACCTGCTCTGTGACATTCAACAGGCTGCAGTTAGTACAGGCAGTATCCAAACAGACAGGCTGGACAAAATCCATCCATTACTTTTGTGTCTGGCACATACCAACACACCATCCAGAAAATGAACAAGAGGCAAGAAAGCATAACTAACCTGAAAAGGTAAAGAAAGATCGAGAGTCTCTGTGCCACACTGGGGCTGTAAGCAAACAGCGTGCAGCGCTGAAAGCGAGAAATATCAGTGACAGATCTGGGGCTGTAGCCCTGCAACTGCATCCACAGCCTCGTGGCTACACCTACTGACAGCAGGCAGGAGTGCAGGCTCACCAGCAGGGGCAGGACCTGAAGCACTCATCCATTTCCTCCCAGCAGCTGTGCCAGATCCTGCCCACAAGCAGCTCTGATGCCTGCACATCTCCAGGTGCGAGCTCCTGTCCTGCCTTCTCTGGCCAGTCCTTAAGCATTCAGGCTGGGGAGCACCCAGCACCTTTTGTGTGCCATTCACTTCTGTCCCAATGACCCACTGTGGCTGCAGGTCATCTCTCAGCAGCCACTGGGATGGCAGTGCTCAAAACCATGATAATTTTAAAAAAAAATAAAATAGGGAAGGGGAAAATAAGTGATCTTTATGCACTGCCCTTTGCAGATCTTTCTTGTTTTAAAGATACTACTGAGTTAAACACACATCTCCCTATATCCTACGTACCCTATGCCAGAATTCACTTACTTGCATGACCTTTAAATTTGCCCTGATGTATTAAAAATGATGTGTGGATAAAATTCTTGCTGATTCTAGGGAGCCAAGAACTGCTGCCTTATTATTTCCAAAAGAAGCCAAAGAAATGGATGGGACTGTGAGCAACCTGGTTGAGAGGGAGGCATCCCTGCCTGCAGCAGGGGGTTGGAAACAGGTGATCTTAGAGGCTCCTTCCAACCCAAACCATTCCATGATTCCATGAAAGCCCATTAAACTCAGGCTATAGGGATGACAAAACCTCTAAACAAAGACCAGGGTTTGTGTTTCAGAAAATATTTGAGTATTCAGAAGATACACACAGACACTTAGTGGTGTCAAAGGCCTTCAGAGCTTGGCCCATTCAACTCTTCTGGGAGCAAAGGGGAGCAGGTGACCAATTTGCTTCTTTTCTTTCAACAAGCCCTGAGGTGCCAACTTTCAGATGGCATTTCTGAAAACCTGACGAGCAGTAAAGAGAAACACACAGTTATGCATTCATGCAGAAGTTAATACACTTCATACATTAACTACAGGACAACTGGAAGTGAATTCCAAGCTCTCTCCAGTGCTATTTCACACACTTCTACTCCACAGCAGATCCTGGTGAACACATTAACTGCTCTCACAAGGGCCCCTCCAGGCTATATATATATTCTTTTTAATAAAATTTGCTGTCCAAAAGTAATGATGAGATTGAGAAATAACCCTAACCCTGAATAACTGTACAGGTACAGAAGAGCCAGCATCTTGTGCTTGGTGCTGGAACAAACAGAACAAGTTGAGCTTCTGACCCAAAGGTTACAAAACAAGGGAGAAGATGAGAACAAACAGTTTATAGAAACCCTGGAGAAAGAAAACTCACTGTATGTCCATTCTGGATGAGGTTTCCTGCTACCAGGTAGGTGACGTGAAGCTGAGCTCCTGAGTTCTCCTTTCGTTTCCTCTCCACATAATCATACAGCATCCTGCACAAAGAAACCAGTGTCAATCACCCCGAAAGCAAAGAGCACACAGTGCAGCTTCCATCAAAAGAGCAAAGCCTGCCTGATGTGAAAACACTTTTACATCAACACTGGGATTAATTTAACCCTGTTGATCTGCCTTCCTCCTCTGCCTCCAAGGATCTCACAGCCCAACATTCAGCAAAGGAGAAACCAACTCAAGCTCTCAGTGCTTGAATGGCTGGCTGCAGATTGTTTCAGATCCTTGGGCTGCTTTGTTGTGAAGTTTTCCCCTTCAGAAATGCTGTTACAACCCCACAGTGAAACTCCTGACCAAAGAACTGGGGGTTTTGCACACAAGGACATTGCCAGGTGCTTCTGTACAGTCCCCAGCTACAACCACTGACACTGTGATCAGAAACATGAGGAAACTGTGACTACAGAAAGGAACTGAGTTTGCAGTTTCTGCCCATGCCATCATAGTGAGCATCCCAGTGATTCATGGTGAGCATCCCATGACAGAGATACTTGAAGATGGCAATGACCACACTGGCCAAACTCACTCAAACAATTCACTGTTGCCATCAGGTGCTTTTCAAGTTCCTTGGAGAGCTTTAAGCACAAAGTTGTCAGTTCTCCACCTCCACATTGCTCTCAAAGGAAGGAGAAGGTGTTTCCACAGCACCTGGGCCACCTCCTCCACAGCACTAAGTTCTCTGGCTCTTTCTAGTTTACTGCACGACCAGAAGTATTCCCAGCAAAGCTCTCCAGTCAGGTCTACACCATCACTGAAACACTTTTCATCATTTAATTGCTCAAATGTTCACAGAGCAAAGAGATCAAGGTTTTCAGCACATTAGATGCCCACGCTGCTATTTGAGTACTTTGGACAAGACAGGTGAAGATGGGCTCAGTACACAGCAAACGTGTCTTCAGGTCCCAACGACAGCTGGGAACAAGGACAGAAAGTATTTACAATATGGGACTAGACATGCTTACATAATCTTATGCTTAACTTGACCTTGCTGTGTATAAACAACCTCAGAATCCTTGAGAGGATACTCATAATCATCATCCCAAGGAGCCAGATAAGCAGGTATTCAACACAATGCGTGTGCTGTGCTGCAGGGCAAACAGAGTGGATGAGCATTAGGTGCACATGAGAGCTGCAGTTACCATCAGAGCTTTTTTCCTTTTTCCTGACTCTGCTCCCAGCAGTACCCACAGATGTATCCTGACTTGGGATGTGCAATGCAGGCTCACAGAGGCACAGCTCTGTTGGTGGGGCTGGCAGCAAATGCAGGCAACACTCAGTTTTGTGCTTCAGGATGAAAGGAGTCACACACATTCCTGGAGTAATAACAGTGCTAAAACATCTGTCCTGGCCCAAGTATTCAGGTTCATAACAGAGCACTAAGCACTGCTTAATTGAAAGCATGACACCCATCCAAGTCAAGGCAAGACTTGCCTAAGGGAGGAGCAGTGAACCACAGCATGGCCTGGATTGCAAAGGAGCACAGCGCTCATCCAGCTCCAAGCCCTGCTGTGTGCAGGTCACCAACCAGCAGCCCAGGCTGCCCAGAGCCACATCCAGCCTGGCCTTGAATGCCTGCAGGGATGGGGCATCCACAGCCTCCTTGGGCAACCTGTGCCAGTACCTCACCACCCTCTGGGTGAAGGTGTGTTAAATAACATAACCAACTGCACCTGAGACAGCATGCTGAATTTTCACATGTGCCCAGAGGGAGCATTTTAGTATGTTAACCACAACCTGAAAACAGCAATTAACAATCCTCTGCCACAAAAGCAGAGGCGTGCAGGCTGTGTTGATACTCACTGTTTAGCCTGGTTGACGTGGACTCCTAAAGTATAGCTCAGCCATTTGTATGTCACCTGCAAAAGATTAAAAATCAGGAAGTTTAAGAAAACCTCAGGCTGTTAAACCACACATTCTCTCGTGGGGAAGTCAAACGCTTTATGGCCCCCTTCCCCCAGAAAGAAACAACACAGGAAAACCTGGCAGAAGTAAGAGTGCATTGTCACCCCCACACCTTCGACACCGTGCCACACCGAAGGGATTCAATTCCCAAGATACGGACAAATTTCTGACCCCAAAAGGTGTGTTTGCATGAATGCCTTTTGGAAATGCTACTACGTAACTGAAGCCATTCTAAACCCCCTCAACTGGGCTCGAGGATCTGAGAAGTCATTTCCAACCTGAGTGATTCTATGAGAACGCCCACAGCGCTCAACTTCACATCAGGAACAGCACAATCCCTGGCTGTGAGAAGCAGCCATTGCCCTCCCATTTACTGAGGACTGATCAGATGATGCTGTCAGAAGGAACAGGTGGATCCCTGGCTGCATCTGCAGCCTGACAGCACTGTGTGCCAGATCTCAGGAGATGACAGGCACGTAACTGCACCATTAAGATGAGCCGCATCCCCAAACCTGCTTCCCCTCCCACTCTGCCTTTTTTAACACCTCAGGCTAAGGTCTCTCTCCTGCTTCAACCACAACGATTAAATTGTCATTAATCTAGCAGCTTATGGAAATAAATGATAATGACACAGGCAGTTCATGTTAATACGACTCCTCTTGTGGCCCGAGAGCTGCAATGATTTCACCGGTTCAGTTTCAAAACAAAGATTTTACACAGAAGGAAAAAACAGGCACATGGTTACTGTGCATCCCAATCTTCACAAAAGTAACAGGGCTTCAAGATGCTACTGATAATAATTTCACTTTTCTCTGATCAAGCAGAAGCCCAAATAGTGGTCAGGAGTACAGGCTGAGAGGGCTGGGACGGCACAGCCTGGGGAAGAGAAGGCTCTGGTGAGAGCTGAGAGCAGCCTTCCAATGTCTAAAGGGGCTGTAAGAAAGAAGGGGACAGACTCATTAGCAGGATCTGGTGTGATAGGACAAGGGGAAACGGTTTCAAACTAAAAGAAGAGAAAGTGGATGCAAGATGAATGATTTTTTACAATAAGGGTGGTGAAGCACTGGCATGGGTTGCACAGAGAGGTGAGGATGCCCCATTCGAGGTCAGGCTGGACAGGGCTCTGAGCACCTGATGGAACTGTGGGTGTCCCCACACCAGGCAGTGGGACTGGATGGTTTTTAATGGTCTTTTCCAACTCAAACCGTTCTGTGATTGCCTCAATATTTCAAGGAAAAAACACTGCTTCGTTCACATCTGAATTTTATGCCTTGGGTAAAATAAAATACTGCTGTCCCTACACTGTGGGCTCAGCTATTAGGGAGCAAAAGGAATTCAGGGAGAGATGCTTTGCCCCCACCTCAGGAAAGACATGGAGCTTTTGGAGTAGGTGCAGATGAGGGCCGTGAGGATACAGTACCCGTCCTATGAAGACAGGCTGAGGGAGATGGGGATGTTCAGCCCAGAGAAGACTGAGGGGAGACCCCTCATTACAACCTTCTGGTATTTGAGAGGAGCTTATAAGCACAAGGGGGACTGGATTCTGGCACGGGCTGACAGCGTTAGGACAAAGGGGCATGGTTTTAAATTAAATGTCAAGAAGAATTTTTCCCTAAGAGAGTGCTGAGGCTCTGGCACTGCTGCCCAAAGGACTGGGGTGGCCATTCCTGGCAGTGCCCAAGGCCATGATGGGGCTGTGGGTACCTGGGCTGTGGGAGGTGTCACTGCCCATGGAGGGGGGTGGGGCTGTGAGAGGCTTTAAGGTCTCTTCCAACCCAAACCGTTCTGCAGTATAAACAACACCAACATCCATCCTCTTTAGAGGCACTAAATCAAACACAGAACACAACGGAGGAAAATCCTGACCCCCCCCCCAAAAAAAAGGCATTTTTGATCCAGTTTGAGTGATAAACCCTCATCAACTCCGCTGGGAAAGATGGGATCAGCCATCAGCCCCACCTTCACACCCCACAGCCACACGAAGAGGCAACGTTCAGTCTGTGGGTGAGCAGCTCTGATTCAGCAGCATCGGGACAGGGGGGGAAGGGGAGGCCCTCACAGTTCCTGTTGCTGCCCAAAGGCCGCCCATGCGTGTCCAAGAGTGCAGGTGAGCACAGAACCCCCGCCTCACCACCCAACCGCCAACGGGACGCAGCTGCTCGCAGGGTTGGTGCTTTCTGAAACGAGCTGGGTTGGAGCTGCTCGTAGCGATAAAAGAAGGGGGCCCTTCAAGGGCTGCCAGCCCAGGCCTGGCCCTGCAGCCCTCACAGCCCGCGGGGTTTGGGGCCCAAACCCACCCCCTGAGGGACACACAGACACCGCTCCCTCGTGCAGTGCTGCTGAAGGGAGGAAAGGAAGGGCGGGGAGGCCCCGCTGTGGCTTTCTCCTCCTCGACAACCCCGGTTCGGTCTCCGCGCTCCGTCGGCACTCACAATGCGGTTCTGATCGGTGACGAACTCATCGATGTTTTCGAGGTACAGCTCGTCCTCCATGGCGGCCGGAATGGGGCGGGCCAGGGGGCGGGAAGGGCCCCACAGAGTTCCCGCGCACCTCAGTGCCAAGGCCACCGCGCCGCCGCCATAGCAACGAACGGGGCGCGACGGGAGCCGCGCGGGGACAAAAAGATGGCGGCGGCACTTCACGAAAACTGAGCTTACCCCGCCTTCCGGTCTGTGGACTCCGTCTTCCGGTGTGCTGGCCCCGCCCCTCCTCTCTGATGGCCCCGCCTTCCGATTTGTGGACCCCGCCTTCCGGTCTGCTGGCCCCGCCCCTCCCTCAGGTCCTAGCAGGGTGATATCAGCCCAGCTCCGCAAGCAGGGACGGTGCGATGAGATTCGGGTACAAGCGAGCCGTAACTTCAACGTGTTCGTTTATTGGTACCCAGTGCTGAAAGGGAGGAGGAGGGAGGTTGTCTCAGAGGGTTTGAAAGCAGAGATGACAACACTTGCTGTAGTGCTGAGGAGTGATCTCCCTTCGGGTGCCCAAGGTCCTGGTGTTTATGCATTTATCCTCTCTGTCTTTCCTTCTCGCTCTTTTTAGTTTTTAATAAAAAAGGCAGACTAGGAACACTTGGAAGAGGCATCATTAACCCACTGAATGCTACACTGGTCTTGGGAAGAGCAAGGACTGGCTGGCATGGGAGCTGAGGGATCCTTCCCGCATCTCTTCATCCACTGAAGCAGAGCTGGGTGCCCTCCTGGAGCAGCAGTCACTACAGGACAGCCCACAGACTTGAACAAGGGGCTAAAGACTACAACATACCTCATCTCTTTGCCCCGATGGTAATGATCGTTCACAGGTGAAGCACACAAAATTAATATGAAAGAAAAACAAACGGGAAAAACAATCTCACCATAATGCAGCAAACTGACAGATGTTGAAGGTCTCTGGGATTCCTCTTCCCTAACTGGAGATTTTTGAAGTGTTTCCAGGAGCACTTCTGTGACCCTTTCCAGGTCACCTCCTTTCGTATTCGCCCATGGGGTCTGTTTTTCCTCAGTGCTCAGATAATGAATCAAGTGCAACTGTCTCGGATTTCAGACATCTCCATTTGCACTTGCTTAAGGCAGGGCGTATCGATGCTAATTGGATCTGAACATACTTTGGGAGTATTCCATTAGAAGATCTGATCATGCTCTTTCACATTGGATTCTCAGTGCCCTCTGACAAACCCAAGTTCCTCTTCCAAGAAGTCGATGTGTTTGAGCCCCATTTCAAAATGATGATGAGCCACAGAGAGGTTATGTGTTTTGTCCAAGAATCTTTCAGTGCTCCCAGGTGCAAAGCCCAAGTATCCTGACTGTCAGAGTTCTTTTTTTTTTTTCCCCTCAAAGCACCATAAAAGATTCTTTCAGACACTGCTTGTTCATAACAAAATGTCTCGTACTTACAGCTGCCCACAGCCAAAGCCTCCAGCACCAGCAGGAACCCAGCCCAAGGACTCGTCATAATGGTTGGTTTGCAAAAGCTTTCCAAAAAAATGACAAAGAATGGGCAGAGTCTCTGGAAATTTATTGAATATAGGGGCTGGCAAGCACCTGAATGAGTTTGAGTGAAAGGAGTTCTGTTGGTGTTCTAATTAATATCATATGAGGGGGAACTGGAGTGAACAGCAATGCTGAATGGTGAGCAAAGACACAGAGATTGAATCATAGGACCACAGAATGGTTTGAGTTGGGAGGGACCTCTAAAAGCCATTCCACTCTCAATGAACAGGGACACCCACAGCTCCATCAGCGCTCAGAGCCCGTCCAGCCTTGGGTGCCTCCAGATCTGAGTGTCAAAGCACTGGTAAGTGAATCTGTTCAAAACTCACCCAGGTGCAGGCATCCTTTTCCTTTTGGAGCTTATCAAAGCAGTCTGATCAGAGGCTCCTGAAGGTCCAGTGCTCAGGAGGAGCATCCCATCTAAAGATAAGTACAGACTTTCAGTTACAAAATAAGTTTTTCATCAACCAGATTCCCCAAGTCCTTCTCCTGGTCTGTAAACGTATCTGGGATTGTCCTGACCCAATGCCTTGCACTTGGCCTTGTTGAACCTCATTAGATGCTTGTGTGCCCATTTTTCGAGTGTGTCCAGGTCCTCTAGATGTCATCCTATCCTTCTCTTCTGTCAACTGCACCACTCAGCTTGGCATCATCAGCAAATTTCCATCATCTACGTCATTGATAAAGATGCTGAAGGACATTGGTCTCAAGATGGATCCCTGGGGGACAGCATTCATCACTGACCTCCACCTGGACATAGAGCCAGTGACCACAAACCTCTGGTTGCGGCCATCCAACCCATTCCTTATCCACTGAATTCGCCAGCCCTTGAATACATATCTCACCAATTTAGAGATAAGGATGCGGAAAGGGGGGAAATCAACTTTTTTTTCATGAGCAGATAGTAACAGGGCAAGGGAGAGCAGTTCCAAAATAAAAGATGGGAGATTTGGATGTCAGGGGGGAAATTCTCACTGAGAGAGGGGTGAAGTGCTGGCACAGGGTGCCCAGAGAGGTGTGGGTGCTCCATTCCTGGAGGGGCTCAAAGCCAGGTTGGATGGGGCCCTGGACAACCTGATCTGGTGCCTGGTTTAGTGGTTGGCATCCCAGCCCGCAGCAGGGGGTTGGAAATGGAGATTTTTGGGCTCCCTTCCAACCCAAGCTGTTCTATGATCCTACGAACGCTTGTCAGACAGACACGTAAGGAGATATAAAGTATGATGTTCCTCTTTTCTTACCCTGAGATGAATTAAAAATAAGGTAGAATTAAAAAGGCCTCGTTGCTAGGAATCCTGTGCAATGGATGAGTCAGACCTTCAGCCTCCTTCTTCACCATACAAAATACAGAAGCACAGCTAAAAAAAATCTTGACGCGCTCCAAAAAGCGAGGCAGCAATACCAACAAGGGACAGGGATCTAAGAAATTACTCAAATAAGTTTTGGGTGGGTGAAAAATAAAGGAACAGGAACATATCTCCCCTCTGACAATCAGCGTAGCGTGACTGCTATCTTTGTCAGTCAGATAGCTGTTATCTCCACCAGAGACCAAGCTGTAGACACCCAGCGTTTGCGGGACACCTACATTAAAGGTGCTGGTTCCCACTCACATGCTTGATGGTGCATCATGGTATGACGTCTTCCTGGAGAGAGATGTTGTACCACTCACACAAACAGAGTTCTTTGACTTTTGTAATTTGTGCTGTCTTTTGTGCCAGGATTTTTTGTACTTTTGTAGGAAGAGTCATAGAATCATAGAATCATAGAATCACCAAGGTTGGAAAAGACCTAAAAGATCACCCAGTCCAACCGTTCACCTATTCCCAATGGCTCCTACTAAACCACGTCCCTCAACACAGCATCCAGCCTTTCCTTGGACACCCCCAGGCTCGGTGCCTCCACCACCTCCCTGGGCATCCATTGCAGTGCCTGACCACCCTTTCTGAAAAGTAATACTTCCTCATGTCCTGCCTGAATCTCCCCTGCCGTAGCTTGAAGCCATTCCCTCTGCTCCCATCACTGATGGCACGAGAGCAGAGGCCGACCCCCAGCTCCCTGCAGCCTCCCTTCAGGAAGTTATAGAGAGCAATGAGGTCTCCCCTGAGCTCCTCTTCTCCAGGCTGAACATTCCCAGCTCCTTCAGCCTCTCCTCATCAGCCCTGTGTTCCAGACCCCTCACCAGCTTTGTTGCCCTTCTAAAGAAATAAAAGCACAAGGTTTAAGCACTATAGGACAAAAAAGCATCTGGGAATATATCAGGAAAAAGAATATAATGTCTCCCACCAAGTAGGATCATAGAATCACAGAATATCCTGAGTTGGAAGGGACCCATAAGGATCATCGAGTCCAGCTCCTGGCTCCACACAGCATCACCCAAAAAAAGCATAAGCTGTCACATCTTAAGAAAGATGACTGACATGAATGGCTTCAAAACCATCATGAGAATTTCCCAGTTTGAGTCACACTGGTAGCTGGCATTTCTGATTCCATCTCATTCCGCGCCTGTTCTCAGGGCTGCATGAAGAGATGGACAGGATGGATCCCTAACGGACTCTTGTTCTTGACGTCTTTTATTTCAAGGCAATTAGTGTGCCTCAGCATGGAGTATCTGACATTTACTCAATAGGAGGATGGGCACAGGAGGAGCTGTGGCAGAGCAGTGTGTTTTCTAGCAGCCCTGCACATCATTTTCCCCAGCAGGTGTGCAATTAAAGAAGACAAACAAGAGCAACAGCTAGGAAATAATGCAAATCTTCCAAGAAAGAACAGAATAGAAAAGCATCTTCTCAAATCCAGCATGGTGCACTCCTCCTGTGTCATAGGGAAGGGATATGGGAGCAAAGTCAACTCAGTGTTCTGTGTCCAGGCCAAGAAAGCTCCTTGCCTCCTCCTGTGTTATATACCCTGCGGGTGTCCAGCTATTGGCTTGGCTGGGCCACGTTGAGGGGGATATTCTTCTCTGGTAAGACAGGTCTTTTAGAAGTCTGGTAGAGATGTGATCCACGTTTTCCTTGTGCAGATTGTCCAACTGCATCTGTGCATTCCATTTGGAAATTCACGGGTCATCTATTGAAGCCGACTCAAAACGGATTCACAAACATATCAAAAATTGATGACTTTTTCAGTGATATTGAAACCCATTCTCAAATTCGTTTATCAAAACATAAAGCAAGGCTGCTTATTTTTCACTGTTTACAGGACTGGATGCCCCATCCCTGCAGGCATTCAAGGCCAGGCTGGATGTGGCTCTGGGCAGCCTGGGCTGCTGCTTGGCGACCTGCACACAGCAGGGCTTGGAGCTGGATGAGCGCTGTGCTCCTGTGCAACCCAGGCCATTCTGTCATTCTATGATGACTGTGTTTATCCAATGTCTCAACGTGCATAAAATTATTTGCCATGCCTTCAGCTTGCCAGAATTTAAGTTTCATTTTGAACACTGTTATGGTCTGAAACACAGCCCCAACAAGTTGATTTTCATCTTGAGGATGTGTGTTTAACTCATTCAAACAAGCAGTCCAATCCACCAGAAGTGCTATCTCTGTGAGCAATTTTCATCTTCAAGTTTTGGGACCAGTTTTCCTTTTGTTCCCATCAACAACTTGATGTCATTTTGTAAATGATGACTTCTTTTTAGCACTTCATCATAAATGACCCACCTGACTTCAGAAAAGCAAATGATCACCCCATCATCAACACCTGTACTTTTAAGGAACTCCTGGAACTGGCCAAGATTTGGTCCCTTGACATTATGAAATTCACAGCTTTGATGATGATTTGCACAACATTATCCATTTTCCAAGCTTTTGTGCATAGAAATGTTCTTAGAATCATAGAATCACCAAGGTTGGAAAAGACCTAAAAGCTCATCCAGTCCAACCGTTCACCTATTCCCAACAGCTCCCACTAAACCACGTCCCTCAACACAACATCCAGCCTTTCCTTGAACACCCCCAGGCTCGGTGCCTCCACCACCTCCCTGTGCATCCATTGCAGTGCCTGACCACCCTTTCTGACAAGTAATACTTCCTCATGCCCAGCCTGAATCTCCCCTGCCGTAGCTTGATGTATGATGCAGTGCGACTTCATCAAACATGAGCTGCTGGCAAAATTTACATCATCTTCTATTGCCTTACCTTCTGTTAATTTTATGAGTTCCTCTTTTTACCAAAAATTGCTGGAGTGCCATCAGATATGGGATATATCAGATACGTTGACAAAGGATAAAGAAAACTGCTTCATTGTAGTTTTTACTGCTTCATACAGACGGAGAGACTTGAGTTGTGTCCTTCAGCAACGCCGAAGCAGCCATTCCTTCAATGACATTCATCTGTTATCAATACTCCTAATAAACACAGCAAGTTGAATCATGGAGTGCTTTGAGTTGGAAGGAACGCTTAAAGGCCATCAAGTCCCACTCTGCAATGCACAGAGACACCCACAGCTCCATCAGGTGTTCAGAGTCCTGCCCAGCCTCACCTCAAATGTCCCCAGGGATGGGACGTCTCTCTGAGAACTCTGTTGAGCCCTATCTGTAGCATCACTACTTCTATTTCTTGCCAAAGCATCACATTTGAAATTGGCAGCTCCGCTCTCCAAATTTCTTTCTGTAGATTTTCCTTTTTCTTCAGTTCACCTGGCTCTAGTCTGGTTCAAGACCTGCCTGGATGCCGACCTGTGCGACCTGCTGTAGGGAACCTGCTTTGGCAGGGGGTTGGACTCGATGATCTCTGGAGGTCCCTTCCAACCCCTACAATTCTGTGAGACAAAATGGTTTGAGAAAAATCCATGGTTTTTTTTTTTGTTTTTTTTTTTTTTTTTAATCAGGACAAATGATATCTGCCACTCTTTCCATACGTGGCTTAATAAACTCATCATTAGTCAATGTCTTTAATTAATTAATTTTTTTTTTTTCAGTCAGATTTGCTGTCACATCACCTCATCTCATGCAGTTCCCTCCCTCGGTCAGCAGGAGACAGCTGCACACCACGCTTGCTGGAAGCTCCTGCTTGCTGCAGGCTCTGCTGCTCTTGCTGGGAATAGAAAGAGCTGAGCTGCATTGCACTTCATCTTGTGCAAACTGTAGCTGAAGTGAGGCCATTCTCCTTCATCCCACTGCACTTCTGAAATCACCCACTGCAATGGCTCCCAGAGTGGAATGAGCTGAAGACCTGTGGAGCTCTGGAACAGGTTGCCCAGAGATGATCACAGAATGGCTTGGGTTGAAAAGGACCACAAGGATGGAGCTGCGGGTCTCCCTGTGCACTGCAGGGATTTGGACCAACTGGGCTTTAAGGGTCCTCCCCACTCAAAGCCTTCTTTGATTCTACAAGACCAACCCATTACTCCATGGGTTTTAAGGCAGGGATGCTCATTATCCCAAAGCATCATTGCTCAGAGCCCCACACAGCTCCAAATTGTAGAGCCCCAGAGATGTGCTGCTGTGCACTGAGCAGAAGAGCCCCTTGCTGTAGGCTGAATCCCCCAGCTTCATGAGAGCTCTGAGCGGATACAGATCTTCACTTGAATGCGTCAATTTTTTACCTGGCAAAGGGCAGGGAAGGAAATTACACACTCAGTAAGTGTTAAAATCAGCTCATGTGACGCATGTGCCCCTGCAGAGCCCTCCAGCACTCACAACAACCACGTTACTCGGCTGGCATCACGTCTGCTTTGCTGGTAATAAAATCCAGACATCCTCTTCCTCCCGCGGTCCCATGAACTTTCTCTCTCATTCCGTTTCTCTCTGTTCCTTCGTGTCACTGCAGCTATTCTGCTTCTCTGTCATTTTGCTCCTGGCTTGACACTGATGTTCAGCGTTGCTCTGAAGACATTAATCATCATTTGTGTTTTTTTTTCAGTGTCTTTTCATCTTCTGTTTTTTCCTCCTTTAAGTTTCCTGCCTTCTACATCTGGGATGTTTTCCTGACCTAGTAACTGTAGTATTAAACTTTTCACCTTCAGAGCACAGTGTATGTTGGGGTATTGCAGACCTCCCTCAGGTTTACAGTTAGTTTACTGAAGCTCTTCCACCGAAGGATTTCTTTTTTGGAACGAAGTCTGGTCCTGGTCTCACTTATGTTTAAGCAGGCTCACGTTGCACCAGGGAAGGTTCAGGTTGGACAGAAGAGAAAAACCTCTTCTCCAAAGGTCATGCAGTGGTAAAGGCTGCTCAGGGGGCTGTGGAGTCACCATTCATTCCTGGAGGTGTTCCTGAATCGTGGAGAGGTGGCACTGAGGTCAATGGGCACGATGGGGTGGGTTGGGGTTGAGCTTGGTAAATCTTGGAGGTTCTTCTCCAACCTTAACGATTCTATGACTGGATAAAACCCTTCACAACCTGACCCAACCTGAGAGCAGACCCTGCTTTGAGCAGCAGGTAGGAGCAGAGAGTTTTCCAAATCCTTCCTATGTGAGTCTTGGTGCTACAAACCTCCATGGTCCTTCTTTGTCCCACGTACAGGAGAGAAGCAGCAGGTCTCTAATACAGAAGAACAGAGAAGGAAGGGTGGGAACTTCATTAATGCCTGAAGACTGATGCTGTTGAGGTTAAAAAGACACTGAGCATTGCTAAACTGCATTTTCAAGATTGTAAAGCTTTTTACATTCAGAATCTCAGAGCTTTTGATAAACAAAGGCAAGCACAATCATTCCCACATCACAAAGCTAAATTCCTTCCCAAATTTCCATTTCCTCACCTCCCGCTCTGTTATTCTACCATAGGATTGGACTTGATGATCCTAGAGATCTTTTCCAACCTTAATGATTCTATGAGTGGGCATGGTGGGGATAGCTTGAAGGTTGGATTGGATGATCTTAAAGGTCTTCTCCAATCTCAATGACTCTATGAATCAATGGCTCTTATTGCATGATACTGACTGCAGCACGATTTGTCTGCTTCCCTACTGGTATAATGCCTCAGTAAAACAGCTCAAGATCAATCAGTAAGCAGTGCCATGTACTTGCCCCACTTTTTTTTGTTATGCTAAATCCAACGGTTGTCAGCTTCCTGCAGGTATGGAAACTAAAGTCAACAAAGCAACAAAGGAGCCAAGCTTCTAAGTGACACCGGATGAGGAGCTGGTCTGACTCCTGGGTCCTGAGGTGTGTAACAACCCACCCTGCCTGCTGCCACCTCTCTATTGATGCAGCCCAGGGTGCTACTGGCCTTCCAGGCTGCAAGAGCACACTGCAGGCTCACATCCAGCTTTTCATCCACCAGGATCTCCAAGTTCTTCACTGCAGGGCTGCTATCAATGAGTTCTCCCAGTCCTTGGTGCGCTTCCTGGGTCTCCAAAGACCTGCCAACATAAATGCATGCCAGCCCACTCTCCCAGTTCAGCTCTTCCAGAGGATCCTCCTTATCAGAGATGTTCTGACGAGTGCTTAACCCAGGTGGGATGGTTCCAGCAGGACTGGCTGCCCCGAGAGGATGCTGACCTACAGTTACTGGGGACAAAGCAGAGACAGGATTTACCTCACCAACGTCATTGAGAGAAGAGAAGTGTGTGCACGGACCTTTGCTTCGTGAGCAGAATCCCCACCTCCTGGCAGCATGGGGAGCTTGGAGAAGCCACGCTGACCTGAGATGGCTCAAAGGACAATGGAGAGAAGCCAAAGTGACACAGAAACTCGCCCCAGCTCTGACCCAGCTCCCCAGGCGCAGCGAGGAGCTTCCTTAACTACTTCCTAAATGCACCCCCGGTGCGTGCAGCCTGCAGCACAGCCTCACACGTACATTTCCTTGTTTTTCTTCTCTTTTGTCACAGCCTCAGGAACGTTTCTTTGAGTCACTGAATACATAATGGAGGTCAGAGCTGTTCTGGCTGTGGGCCACATCCACCAAGATTGTGCCTGAATGAACTGGAGAGCTCTGCCCGAGCGATTCCCTCCCAGCAACCTTGGTGGAAGGTTTGTTGTGGAGTAAACCATAGTGACACTGCTCATCCTTCTAAGAGAACCGCAGGACTGTCAGGCCAGGCTCACATCACTGAGTCTGGTAACGGTGTGTGGTGCCAGGATTTGGCTGACCCTTCTGAGCTACCATATGGGAACCTGTAACGGGCATAAAGGAAAAACGAACTCATGGCTTAAAGCTTCCCAGAGCCAACTCTTTATCATACAATCATTGAGGTTGGAGAAGACCTCTAAGATCACGAGGTCCAACCTCAATCCACTCCCACCGTGCCAGCTGACCGTGTTCCTCAGTGCCACATCCCCGTGGCTCTTGAACATCTCCAGGGATGGGGAATGCACCACCTCCCTGTGCCAGTGCTTGACATGAGGAAGCAGTGCTACAAAATGCAAGAGAGTAGAAGACACAACTCAATCTGACATGAAGAGACATCATCAGATCATCTTAGAGATGTCATTCTGCTTGATTAAGGAAGTACTTCCACTACACACCAACCCAAAAGACCTCTCCATCACTGAGGTCCCAGGAACCCAACTGGATGGCAGTGGTTGATCCCCCATGATGAGAGCGATGGAGGAGATGACCTCTGAGCTTCATCCAGTGCAACGGGTGAGAAGAGGCTCTTGGTGAAGGTCCCAGAAACACAACCTAGAGTGTTCCAGTTTCCTCAGGGCAAGATTTTTCTTCTGAGATTGTTTAGCCCATAGCAGAGCTGGGCTCTATTCCACGTGCCAAACTCTTGCACACTTCAAATCCTTCCTCTAATTTCTAAACACAGGGAGCAGTCAGTGCTGGTGCTGGCGTGGCCCTCTGTAAAAGGAGATGGTTTGCCAATTACCCTTTGCTTGAAGAAAGATGGGATTTTGCTCAAAGGCTCAGGGAGGGGACGTCCATACCTGGTGCTGTGAGGGGCACCCAGACTGAGCAGCCCACTCCCAGCTCTGCCCACAACACCAGGACCTTTGTCACCTCTCCATGACATCCTGGTCCTGCCAAAGTCAACAGGAATTTTGTCACCAATGGCACCAGAGCCAAGATGCTGACCCAGCAGCCCCCCTCCTGCAGGCACCTGCCTCACACCTTTGTCCTCCCAGCCCTTTCCTGCTATTAAACCCTGGCTTGCCTCAGCCCTAAAGCTCCCCGAGGGGGTAATGTCCTTCTGCCTGCTGCCTCCTGCCAGAAGAATGGGCCCTGCCTGCTACTACAATCAGAGGAGTTGGTGAGGATTCAAGAAACTCAGCTAGTGCTCAAAGGAAAAGGTAATGCAGAACAGTAAATGATCACATCATGAAGGAAAAACCCTTAACAATGCTCAAAAATAAGGACAGAATGTGAACCATCCGTGGCTCCCTCCCATGCAAATTTCTCCATATCCTCCCTGCCTCAAAAGCAGGATACTGACAGTAAATACCCTACTTATTCATCCATGTTCACTTCTGCTGCCTTATTTACAAGGATCCCAGACCTACTGCACACAGTTCCCCCCATCTTACGCAGGCACTGCTGCTGCACGCCAAAAAGGAAGAGCACTTGGCTTTGATGTCCAGCAAGAGCTTGTAGCTTAATCATAAAGAAGGAAATAACTCAATACAGACACAATGTGGGTGCAAAATACAAGCGTCTCCTGCCAAGGGCAGGCGCTGCCAGCTGGCCTTGGCCCCGCTGCACCAGCAGAGACCCAAAATTCAGGTGGGGGTTGATGGCTGTGAGCCTCCATTGATAGGACAAGAGGTAATGGCTTCAAGTTGCACCAGGGTCAGGTTGGATGTTAGGGAAAAATGATTCTTTGAAAGAGTGGTAATGCATTGGAATGGGCTGCAGAGGGAGGCAGGGGATTCACTATCCCTGGAGGTGTTCAAGAACAGGATAGATGTGGCCCCTGGGGACGTGGTGGAGATGGGTCACCCTTGGTGACCTTAGAGGTCTTTCCTACCTCAGCCATTTCTACGATTTTATGAGTCCTTTTGGTGGGAGTGGGTTGGGATTGGCTTTGATGACCTTAGAGGTCTTTTCCAACCTCAATCATTCTATGATTCTATGAGTTGTTGTGGTAGGGGTGGGTTGGGATTGGCTTTGATGACCTTAGAGGTCTTTTCCAACCTCAACCATTCTATGATTCTATGAGTTGTTGTGGTAGGGGTGGGTTGGGATTGGCTTTGATGACCTTAGAGGTCTTTCCAACCTCAACCATTCTATGATTCTATGAGTTGTTGCGGTAGGGGTGGGTTGGGTTGGCCTTGATGACCTTAGAGGTCTTTCCAACCTCAACGACTCTATGATTCTATGAGTCATTATGGTGTAGGTGGGTTGGGGTTGGCCTTGATGACCTTAGAGGTCTTTCCAACCTCGACAGCTCTACAACTGGGGCTGCTGGAGGAAACACACTCTGTGACGAGCTGGCACAGCGATACAGTGACATTCACAGTGTTGTTTCCCAGGCTGTATCAGTTTTATAACCCACTGCAACAACCGTTCCCTTTTCATCAGGAATGTAGGCAAACAAAGAAAGCGCCTTTCCTTCCCTGCAGACACACGCAGAGAAGAGCTGCAGCCCACGTGGCGCTCAGGTGACAGCCGAATTACCAGGCACTACAAAGGGTGGCTGGCCAGCACAGCCTATTTCCAATAAAAACACATTTATTAACATTTGATTGTGCTATAAAATCAAATGCATATCTCAAGACTTTCATACCTTAATCTCGTCGATAACGCGGAACGCTGAGCTGGGAGCTGGGAACAGCTCTGCCTTTAATGGTTGACTCATTGCACCCCGACCAGACCGACCTATTTTCTCCGTCTGCAATAAAAAGTTACACCAGGAACACGTTATCACTCTTGAAGTCACAGTGTGATTAATTGCAGTGCACATCAACGCAGCGCAGTACAGCAAGCTTTATGTATGAGAGCTTTTGTACAATAACCTCAAGATCTGCGACCTTGGGACACCAGCCCGGAGCCTTGGGCTCTATCAGCCACCCCCATGCCCCAATCTCCTGTCCCTGTGACTTAACCCCCACCTCCAGGCCCTGCTCCTATCTCCTAACTGCTCTCCCTTGTCTTTGGACTCTTTCAGTCGTTCACATTCTCAGCCCCTGTCCCTGTCCGTCCGTGGGCTCCAGAACCAGACCCCAACATCCTGCTCCCCACCCCACTCCCATCCCTCCTGCCTTCCCCCTGTCCCTTGTGCCTATCTCTGACTTCCCCATCCCTGGCTCCCATCCCTCATTCCCTATCTCCCACTGCAGACTCCACTCCCTATCTAGTCTAAGACCATGTTCCACATCCCCAGCGTATCCATCACCATCCACCACCATCCTCCACCTCTGTCCCCTATCCCTGTCCACGTGCTCTGCCCCTGGTCCCCCATCCACATGGGCCCCGTCCATTAACCCCAGCCCCATTTCCCCTGTCCCCAAGCTCATCTCCCATCCACATACACCTGGGCCTTGACTCCTACCCCTGTCCTTGACCTCCTTTTCCCACTCACGACCCCTGCCCATGTCCCATATGCCTTGTACCCATCTCCTACCCACAAATATCTGTCCCCTGTATCCTGCTCCCAGGCCGTCGACCCCATCCTGTCCCCTGTTCCTGGTTCCCTGCTTCCTGCACCAGTGCCAGCCCACTGTTGACATCCACCTGGGTCCCATCCCCAACATCATATTCCCAAGCTTTGTCATCTGTCTTTCATCTCCTGTCCCCATGTCTGTCCTGTCGCTGTCCCTTATTCCATGTCTCCTATCCCTCTGCCTTTCCCTTATCCACACATACCTGTGCCCTTTTCCTACACTCTATTCCCACACCCTGCTCCCTGTCTTTGATCCCATCCCTGCTCTTGTCCCCCCTTCCCAGTCCCCTATCTCTGTCCCTGTGCCAGTCCCCTACCCACATATATGCAGATTCTGTCCCCTATTCCATGACCTCATTCCCCTGTTTCCCACCCACACCTACGTGGACCCCAGGCCCTATATCCTAATCCCTGGCCCCATACCCCGTCCTCAATTCTCTGTCACCACTCCCATTCCCCATTTCTCCTTATCTCCTACCCCTGCCCCCTCCCCACACACACCTGTCCCCTATATCCATTCCCAAGCACTGCTTCCTATTCTCGATCCCCTGTCCTCCATTCCTGGTCCATCATCCTCATCCCCTGTATTCTAATCTCAGTTCCTAATTCAATATCCCAATTCCATACCCTGCCCCCATGCTTCTGCCTTCTTCTGCTCTCTATTCCTGGTCTTTTATTCTCCGCTGTCTTAATTCTGTTCCCTATATTCTATTTCCAGACCCCGTTTCCTGTCCTCGAATCCCTGTCCCCACGCTTGTCCCCTGTCCTTGTCTACTATTTCTGGTCTCCTTTCCTTGTGTCTGTCCTCTTCCCACAAATACTTGGGCCTTGGCCCCTATATCCTAATCCCAGGCCCTATCCCCTGCTCCCAGTCCTCTGTTCTCATGCCTGTCCCCTATTCCTGCTCTCTCATCCCCTGGCCCTGTGCCTACCCCATACCCACACATACCTGTCCCTTGCACCCTAGACCCCATTCCCAGGCTGATTCCTATCCCCACAACCACCCTGTCCCTTATTGCTGCTCTCTTAACACCATGACTTCCCTCTGCCCATATACACCTGGGTCCTTTCCCCAAGATCCTATTCCTTGCCTCCAATTCCCCCTCCCCATGTACACTTGTCCCCTGACCCCAATAACCCGTTCCTAGGCCTTGTTTCCCATCCCTAATCCCCTGGGTCTCACAGCTGAGTCCTAATCCTGGGCCCTATAAACTGTCCCCATGCCTCTTCCCTACCCACATACACTTGTCCCCTGCCCCCTATATCCTATTCTCAGGCCTCGTTTCCTGCCCCCTACATACACACACCTTGGCCCCATATCCTAATCCCAGGCCCTATTCCCAGTCCTGTCCCTACACCTGCTTCCAACCCACATACACTTGTCCCCTACCTCCTATATCCCTTTCCTAGGTCTCGTTTCCTGTCCCCTTCCTACATATATCAGGGCCCTATTCCCAGTCTCCTGTTCCCACACCTGCTCCCAACCCCCATATACTTTGACCCTTGTCCCATACATTCCATTCCCAAGCCCTGTCCCTTTCCCACACCCACATGGGCCCTAAATCCTAATCCCAGACCATATTCCCTGTCCCCAATCCCCTGCCCCATATTTGTTCCCTAGTCCCCTATATCCTTATATCCCTATAGCCTTATTTCCTGCCCCCTACAAACATATACCTGGGCCATATATCTTTATCCTACCTGCCCCATACCCACATACACCCACCCCACTTCCCCTATATTCCATTCTAAGAACTCTGCCCCCTCCCCACACACAACTGGGCCTTAGATCCTAATCCCAGACCATTCTCCCTGTCCCCATTCCTGTTCCTTACCCATACACACCTACACCTACCCCTGCCCCTTATATCCCATTCTCAGGCCTTGTTTCCTAACCCCTTCCTACACATACCAGGGCCCTATATCCTAATCCTAGGCCCTATTCCCAGTCCCCTGTCCCCAAGCTTGCCCCCTACTCTCATACACCCATCCCCTGTCCCCTATATCCCATTACCAGACCCTGTCCCTAATCCCAGAGCATATTCCCTGTCCCCTTATCTGTTTCCTAGCCATACACACATGATCCCTTCCCCCTATATCCCATTCCTAAGCCTCATTTCCTGTCCCCTACATATACCTGGGTTCTATATCTTAATCCCAAGCCCTATAACCTGTCCCCTACCCACACACCCCTTCTCCTATATTCCATTCTAAGAACCCTATCCCCTTTCTACACCCACGTGGGCCCTCTATTCTAACCCCAGGCCCTATTCTCAGTCCCCTGCCCCCACACCTACTCCCAACTCACATACCCCTATCCCCTATATCCCATTCCCAGGCCCTATTCCCTATCCCACATCTCCAGCCCTACATCCCACTCCCAGCTCTCATTTCCCATCCTACAGGCCACGCCTCCACCTACAGACCACGCCCCATTTCCCAAGCACCATCGCAAACCAGACCACACCCTCAGGCCACGCCCACACCTTCAGGCCCCGCCCCACCTCCGGTCTATAACCCAACCTTCAGGCCACGCCCCATTTTCCCAAGCCCCGCCCACACTCGGCAGGCCACGCTCACATCCATCAGACCACGCCTACGTTCATCAGACCACGCCCATACCCTCAGGCCACGCCCCCTCCCCCGCCATGCCGGCTCCGGCCGTGCGGGCGGTCTCGTTGGGTTTGCGGCCTTACGAAGAAGCGTTGCGGGTTCAGCAGCGCTGCGTGGCGGCTGCGCGGGCGGCTCGGGGCCCTCCTCCACGTCCTCCATTCGAATGCGTGGTGCTGAGCGAACCCGCAAGGCCCGTATACGCGTGGGGGCTGCGAGGTGCCCCGACTGAGAGAGAGGCGGAGCGGCTGCGGGCGGCCGGCGCGGGGTTGGCGGCGGTGCGGAGGGGCGGCAGCGTGACGTTCCACGGGCCGGGGCAGCTGTTGGCTTTCCCCGTGTTGGATCTGAAGGCGCGGGGAATTCAGCTGCGAGGCTTCGTGGAGAGGTTGCAGGACGTGGCGGTGCGGCTGTGCCGGAGGGTCGGGGCGATGAGTGCCGCCGGGCGACCGCCGCCTTACACCGGAGTGTGGGTGGGGGAAGGCAAAGTGTGCGCCGTCGGTGAGCGATGTGGGGGGGGGGGGAAGGGAGGGAGAGTGGACTGGAGGGGTTTTGGGGAAGTGGGGGGGTTGCAAAGGGCGTGTGTGCAATGTGGGGTGGCGCTGAGAGTGCATGCTTGGTGAGGTGAGGTGGGAGATGCATGGGGTGTGTGCAGCAAGGGTTTTGCACGGTGGTGCATCAGGGAATGGGCGCGCATGGGGCTTGGGAAGGTGGGGGGATTGCAAAGGGGGTGTGTGCAATGTGGGGTGGCACTGAGGGTGCATGCGTGGTTGGGGGGGATGCATCATTAGGAGATGTGCAGTGGGGTAGGGATGCACAGGGATGTGTGTACCAGGGGTCTTGTGTGGGAGGGTGCAGAAGGAGTTTTGCACGGGGGGGGTGCACATGCATGGGGTTTTGGGGCATGGGGGGATTGTAAATGTGGGGGTACACTGAGGGTGCATGCATGGTGGGGGGAGCATGCGTTGAGAGGTGTGCATGGGTGGGGGGATGCATAGCATTGTGTGCAGAAGGAGTTTTGCACGGGGGTTGCACATGCACAGGGTTTTGGGGTGGGGGGGGTTTGCAAAGAGCGTGTGTGCAATGTGGGGGTGTGCTGAGGGTGCATGCATTGGTGGGGGGGGGAGAATGCAGAGGGGTGTGTGCACTGGGAGGTGTGCACAAGGGGGGATGCAGTGGGAGAAGTTTGCGTTGGAGGATGAGTTGAGTGAGGGGTTGTGCACCAGGGGATGTGTGTGCATGGTGGGAGAGGAGGGGGGGGGGCATACACAAGGGTGAGTGCATGGGGGAGGTATGCGTTGGGATGCATGCACGAGGGGATGTGCATGGCAGTGGGGATGCAGAGGATTGTGTGCAGTGGGGAGTTTGCACGGGGCTTTGTGCATTGGGATGTATGTGCAAGGGTGGGATGGAGGGGGGGGGGTTATGGACTGATGGGATGGTGCATGGGAGGGGGAACACCATGGGGAGGGTGCATAAAGGAGGCGTGCTCAGGGCTGCCATGTGCATGGAACAAGGAATGCAGCAGGATGGGGCATGCAGATGTGGCTGTGCACAAAGGTGCTGTGTGTGCAGGGAGGTTTGCTTGGAGGGATGCATGAGGGGTGCAGCGCTTGGGGGGTGGACGACACATGCAGGTGGGTGCTGCCCTGGGGAGGGCTGTGCTGATGGGTGCCTCATCCCTTAGGGGTGCACTGTGGGAACCACATCACCTCCCACGGGCTGGCACTGAATTGCTGCACTGACCTCTCCTGGTTCGAGCACATCGTGCCCTGTGGGCTGGAGGGGACGACGGCCACTTCACTGAGCCACGAATTGGGCCGCCACGTCACCGTTGAGGACATCCTTGAGCCTTTCCTTGAGTCCTTCCAGGAGGTCTTTGACTGCACTGTGGTGTTTTCTGAGGAGCCCAGGGACTGAGAAGGTGCAGGGTGATGGAAAGAGTCCCATCCCGCCAGTGCCGGAGCACACAGATGGTGTGGGATGGTTGGAGGCTGTCCCCAATGCCACGTTGTCACCATGCCACGTCTCGCTGCTGAGATGCTGTGGGGAAAAAAAGGCCCTTGTTAGGACCAGGGGTGGACCTGCAGAACTCAGGTCATGTCCTCAGCAAGCACTTTAGTGGTTTGAATTCCTCTCTCCTCAAAAAGTCTGACCTTGGAGTGAATGCTTTGAGCAAAAAGGGAGAGGTGTTGCTTGGTGAAGTGCTCTTATCTCCTTGCTGCTGTGCAAAAGTCAGTGTTGGTTTTATATAAAGAGAGTTGGTGGGAACGTTGGCTGCTGGTGCTTTGCTGTGTGCTCTGTGAATGCTGTCACTGTCCCCTAGGTTCCTCTGGAACTGTGAGTGAGTTAAGAGGGACTAAAAGCCACCAAGGAGAGGCTGAAGGCCACCAAAGAGGGACTAAAGGCCATCAGAGAGGGATTAAAGGCCACCAAGGGAGACTAAAGGCCACCAGAGAGGCTAAAGGCCACTGAAGGGGAAATAAAGGTGAAAAAGGGGGACTAAAGACCACCAAAGAGGGACTAGAAGCCATCAGAGTGGAACAGAAGGCCACCAAAGAGGCACTAAAGACCACCAAAAGGGGACTAGAGGCTACCAAAGAGGCTAAAGGCCACCAAAGGGGGGGGGGGGGTGATTAAAAGCCGCCAAAGAGGGACTAAAATTTACCAAAGGGGGGGGGTCTGAAGTCACCATAGAGGCTAAAGGCTACCAAAAAAGTACAAAAGACCATCAGAGGGGGACTGAAGGCCACCAAAGAGAGTCTGAAGGACACCAAAGGGGGACTAAATGCCACCAAAAGGCAACTGAAGTCACCAGAGAGAGGCTAAAGACCACCAAAGGGGGATAAAAGGCCACCAAAAGAGGACTAAAGTCAACAGACGGAGGCCAAAGGGGAGCTAAAGGCCACCAAAAGAACCAAAGGCCACTGGGGGGGGGACTGAAAGCCACCAGCAAGGGACTGAAAGCCACCAATAAGAGACTAAAAGCCACCAAAGAGGGGCTAAAGCCACCAAGATAGTGCTGATATGGTGGGAAGGAGGGAGGAAAGGGATTGGGGTACCAGCAGGGTTTGGGCATCGTCACCTCTTCCAAGGTCACAGCATGTATCCCAGGGCCCCGATGGTTTGTGACACAATGATATTGCTGGGGCTGCATTGGGACAGGGAGGGTCCCAATGGGAAGCAATATCCCATTTAGTCCCCAGCAGGCTCAGTGCCCGCTGCAGGGCTTGGGGACAGCATGGACATCCGGAGGAGGGACAGGAAAGTGTGACCGGCAGCGTGCGAGAAGGGAAAGGCAGGATCCACCCGGACAGCCCCATAAAAACCTCCTGCATCCTGGCCGAGGAGATCACACAACGGGACTGCAGGCTTTGGGGACACACTGGTAGCCACCATCGGGGCTGGGTGGCTTTGGCAGGTGGCTCTGCCCCAGGAAGGGGAGGAGGCTGCGGCACTCCCAGCCCGGTTGGCGGCCGCGATGCTCCAGTCCCAGTTCAACCCGGCGGCCGTGCAGGCAGTGAGGGCAACCGGTGAGTGCAACCGACCCCTTCCCCCTTACCTTGTCCACCCCAATCCCAAATTGCAGCAAACTACAAACTGCTGCGGGGCTCTGCAGGTGGGAAATGCTGATTTTTTGCTCCAAGTCCCCTGGCTTCCCTCTGATTAATGGTGTTTGGAAAGAGAGTGAGGGTCCAAGGGTGAATTCTCCCAACCCTCTCCACTCCCCCCCCCCGGAACCTTTTTTTTCCCTTGCTGAATGCATTTTGCATTTGAGGAATGATTTTGGGGGGAGCACAGGGGCGCAGGTTGGGGGTCTGAGGGGCTTTGGGATCAGTCTTGCCCACAGGGTTGGAAATTCTGGGAAGATTTGGGGCAGTGACCCCTTGGTGGGGGTCCATGGGGGCATGTGAGGTCAGTGCCTCCCTTACCAGGGTTCTGAATGGGTGAATGGGGTCTGTGCGTGGCACAATCAGTTCTGGAGCTGTTATTTAGGATGCCCATCAGTTGGGGTCTGGGGGGACCCCCCATGCTAGCCAAGGGGTAACATTGATCCCAGTGGGGTCATTTGGAGCTGATGTTGTCGGGATGGGGAACACAGAGGGATCTCTGGGGTCTGTTTCTATATGGGAAGTGCTTGGCGGGGTTGCATCCGTCTGTCTGTCCATCAGAGGATGTCCGACAGTCATCTGTGCCTGAGCACCAAGCGGCTTCATCCGGATTCTCTTAAAGTGCCTTCATTCAAAAAGAATTCAACGCTCCTAATTGGGTTTAAGGGGGAGGAAGGGATTTAATGAAGGGAACAGCAAGGTGGGTGCCGTGGCTCTGCACTCTGCCAATGGGGTTGGGGCTGGATGTGGGGTTTTTTTCCTCCATCAAACCATGCCTTGAAGACCGTTTGGGGGCTCATCCTCAGCCCCAGCATCACCCGGGGCACCCCGTCCGTGGGGCTGACGCTGCTGCTGCTGCTGCCCCACACAGGCTTGGCGAGGAGATGGAGGAGGACAACAGGACGGAGCAGTGGCACCGCAGCCTCCAAGCAATGCTGGATGCCTTGAACCAAACCATACACGGGGCCATCCTCCGCCCCAGCACCCCTCACAATGCCAGCACCCGTGCCAGCCGGGATGACAATTCCTACCTGTACATCCTCTTCGTCATGACGCTCTTCGCAGCCACCGTGGGCAGCCTCATCCTGGGCTACACCCGATCCCGAAAGGTGGACAAGCGCAGCGATCCGTACCACGTCTACATCAAGAATAGGGTCTCCATGATCTGAGCCCGGTGCCTCCTGCGGAAAGAACCCCCCGGTGCCGAGCCCTGGTGTGAGGCAGGAGCACCGGTGTCACCTGCAGGCAGGTCCCGGTGCTACGGAACCATCACAGCTGGGGACGTGGGGGTGGTGGAGATGGTTGCTTTCCCACTGTTCTCATGACTTACTGAGGCTGGCACAGGCTGTAAAGGAGGAAAATTCCCTGCTCAGACCACCAGCATCACGTCCAAAGCACACTCTGCACTGCTTAGCGTGGGTTTTTCTGTGGCTAAAAGCTGTGATTGCAGAGCCAGGCTGAGCCCCGAGCTTCACTGGTAGGAAATTAAAGGAGGTGGTGGTTCTTGAGATGAGTTGCATCTGCTTTTTCTCCACCTGGCTCCGGGCCGGTCAAAGAGCCACAGTTTGGGCATCGTAGCCCCATTCCATGGCCTGGGATGACATCTCCATTCTGCCAGAGTTGGGTGAACCATACAAGCCTGGTTGGACCCAGGGGGTTGCAGAGATTTTCCTGCTTCCTTCCTACAGGGTGCTGCTGGCTGTAGCTTTGCCCTTTTGTACCTTAGCTGCCAAATGTGTTTTCCAGTGGCAAATGGGACGGGGACATGCTCAGGTCCTCCTGGGCTCTTTGGCTTGCTTTGTCCCTGCTGTGAAAGCAGCTCAGTTGGGGTTTGGTTATGGCTTGGCCAGCGGCCAGGAGGATGAATGCCCTTGTTCCTGTCCTTGAGATCAGGCTGCCTGCTGGAGACAACACGGTGAGTTGGCCACAGTGTCCATCGTGGTCCCTGGGATGTCTTAATCTTCTCATAATGGCATAATTAATATCTGTAATTGCAGCCAGAATGGCTGCCTTTAGAGCATTCACCAAGCCCTGACCCAAAACATGGGATGTCAGAGAGAGGGCTGGCAACCTGGGCACAATGGTGGCACTGACTCACCCAGCAGATTTAGGATTTGCTTTGCTTTCAGCCATGCTCTGGGCATAGAAACTGACACAGAGATCTGGGGGGAGCCCTGGGGGGTCTCTGTTTTGGGGTCAGCTCTGGTTTCTATGCCAGGCGAGCGGTGCAAATGCCACTGTCATGCACAACCCCTGGGAGGGGGCTCAGGAGGGTTTGTTGTGTTTGCATTGCAGTTACAACGTTGGGAAAAGCAAACAAACCTGCTCTCTGCAAATAAAGCAGGGGACGTACAGTAGGCAGGGACAGCCAGAGAACATCCTCCTTCCCTGAGTGGGTTTGTGCTCCGGTCTTCTCCCCTTGTGTGGCACTGATCCTCCTCTAGTACCCCCTGTGCTGGGGCTGGATGGGGTTCCCCATGATGGGATGGGTCAGTGGGTGCAGCATGGTGAACATCCCACCCATAACCCAGGAGGTGTGGCCATCCCAATGGCCATTGGCACTTCTGGGAGATACTGGGACAGAGCTGGTGACCCCTGAGTCCCTTATGCTGCTACAGTGTACAGCTGGAGGGGAGAACAGCTGTGTCACAAGATGTGTTGACAGAATTGAAAAGAAAAAAACCAAAAACCAACACTGCTTTCCCCTAAATCTGAAATCTTTCAAGGAAAAAAAGCCCTCGTGCAAGAGGTCACCGTCCACCGTTGGCAGCTCCTTCACCCACCTGCCCCTGCCATTAAATTCAAGTGAGGGCCCATAGCCTGCGTGCAACAGAGCAACTCGGGTGCCCCCACCTTGGGGACAGACCCCACCATGCTGGGTGACAAAGGTTCCAGTGCCATCTGGTGGCAGCTGGTCATATCTCCGTGGGTGTCCTCACGCAACTGCACTGTGCTGAGCTCCAGGTGATGCTTGGAGGGGTATGGAAACATGGGGACACATGGGACATCCCCAAAATGGGCTCGATTCTGCTTCCAGGGGCTAATTAGGGGCTCATCCTGCAGCTGAGAAGCTCCTCATTGAAGCCAGCCAATGCCCTTGCTCCTTGTGCTCAGCCCATCTTGGGTTTTAAGAGCACAGAGCTAAGGCAGCACTGTCCTTGGCTGAATCACTAAATCAAAGCATGCACATTGCAGCTGGCTGCATTAGGATTTTAAACAATGCAGCCAGAGGGATATAATATAGAGCTCATGTGAGGCCAATTGATTCAGTCCTGGTTGTGGTGTTTTGTTTGTTTGTTTTTTCAGCACACAGCAATGAATAAGAGGTGAGACAACGGCTGTAACCAGTTTGCCTGGGCCTTGGGAAAGAAATTGGCAAAACTGTGTGCATATGAAGCTGAGGCTGATCTTGCAGTAATGCAGCTTGTGTGTCTGATATGCTCCCCCTGCACTGCAGCATGGGGGTCCCCTGTTCCTTTCCAGGGTAACTTCTCCAGAGCCTCTCTCTTGGCTGTTCCAATAACACACTGAGATCAGGGGCAGATGCTGCAGCACAAGGAGGCAGAGTCCTATAGCAAATGTGGTTTCAAGCAGTGACTTTAATTATTCATTACTGCCCACCTTCCTCTGAAGCAAGATAGAAGAGGTGATGTCCTCCTGTGAGG